TCCTATCTTTATGCCTATTAGATTGCTAATTTAAAAAAAAAAAAAGCTATTGATGGTCAGTGCTTTGTAGTAAATATCTCTATGTTCAGGCCAGGATCTTGTTAGCTTATTGGTTTACTTTTATGCTGAGTGGTAAATAGGTCACAGACTTCTTGTAGGTTTAATTCCTGCCTCCAACCTGAATTGTCCTCGTGATTTTATGTCTTAATCATTGTACCTAACAGAAAGAATGGAAGGAAGAAAGGAGAAAGGCAGAGAATGAGGGAGGAAGGGAAGGAAGGAGGGAAGGAAGGAGGGAAGGAGGGAGGGAGGGAGGGAGGGAGGGAGGGAGGGAGGGAGGGAGGGAGGGAGGGAGGGAGGGAAATATGGAACTCCACACGTGTTCACTAAATCAGTAACTGGACAGGCAGGAGCCAGGTCACACAGAGAGCCTCAGACAACATGATAAAGTTTGGGGATTGTTATCTAAAGGGTAAAATATTTATTTGGGGAATGACTGAGAAAATGAATCTTCTGGCAATTAAAGAACACCAAATTTACCACTAAAATCCTACTGGAGATCCTTACAAAACTCTCCTTAAATGCTTCTGTTCTTGCATTCAGTGCACAGCTGGAAAGAGGTGCTGGTCTGGATGGTTCTGGAAAGCAAATGCACACAAACCATGTCATTAATAACTGTGACACTGAGCCAATGACAGGACGTGTGGCTCGTGATCCTTTAGGCACAAGCGGATGAGGGGTCTGACAACTCAATTCCTACACCACAGGAAATGAAGAAACAGACCCACCAATCAACAACACTCAGAGGCAGAAATAAATGGACATGCCTAGTCTTTCCCATATGAAAATTTCTTACCTTCCAATTTAAGCTGAAAAGTGTTTGTCTTTTTCCTTTTTCAGCTATGAAAACAGAGCTAGATATCCAGATCTGGGAAGAAAAGTTCTTATTTTAATTAATTAATTTATTATTATTATCATTATTTTGGTCCGTTGTGGGGCCTGAACTCTGGGCCTGGGCACTGTCCTTCAGCTCTTCAGCTCAAGGCTAGTGCTCTACCTCTTGAGCCACAGCACCTCTTCTGGTTTTTTGATGGTTTATTGGTGATAAGAGCCTCATGGACTTTCCTGCCTGGGCTGGCTTTGTACCTTGATCCTCAGAACTCAGCCTCCTGAGTAGCTAGAATGACAGGCGTGAGCCACCAGCACCTGACCTTACTTTAAAGGTTGCCAATATTCTTTTCTGGAGCTGTGTTTCCCTTTTTGAGAATTTGTGGGTCTACCCACAGGACATCCAGTTATTTACCACAAGCATGAAACACAGAGATCATCAAGGAATCCATTATCTCACCACTATTTACGCTGTCATCGGCTCAAGGTCTTTCAACCATTTCATCTACCAGCCAGTAACAAGTGGAAATTCTACACTTGCTCCATGCTATCTCCCCTTCCTAATTTTTCAGGCTGTCATTCCATTCCCCTTAGTCATTTCCTCTTTCTTTAATTCTACCGAATACAATGCTCTGTCTTATGTAAAACCCTAACTGTGATTTTGAAAACATGAGATTTGATATGGTTATCAATTCACTTAAGAAAGGATCCTCTACAGTGTTCCATTACCCATGCAACCAGGTAAATTTCTGTGTTTCTATCACTTATTGATGACGGTGCTCAGAGTCTTGAACACGACTGATACAATCAATAGACTGGGCACCAATGGCTCAAATCTGTAACCCTAGCTGGGTTGGGAGGATGAGAATGGGAAGGTCGTGGTTCAAGGACAGCCCAAGTAACCATGCCCATGAGACCTCTTCTAGCCCACAGCTGGGCACAGAGGTGTACATCTGTCACCACAAGCTACACATGAGACCAAGAAGGGAAGAGTCCTAATACCAAGCCAGCCTGGGCAGAAAAGTCCAGGAAATTCTCTCCATGAAGGGGAAGCTGGATGCTATGTTACGTGCCTACAATCTCAGTGATGACTGGCAGAAAGTCTAGAGTAGGTGAATGGCAGCGCAGGCCCAGGCCTGATAAAACAGTCTAACACTATCAGTGACAAACAGGACTGGAAGTATGGCTCAGTGGTATACCAGCCCCATAAGCAGAAGGCCCTAAATTCAAGCCTTAGTAACATAGACTCTAAAAGGTAACAAACACTATTCTAAGCCCTTTATTATACATTAATTCAGTCCTCATAGCAACTGTTATCTGCTTGTTACAAATGAAGAGGCTGAGGCTCACAAAGGTTAAGTTCCTCACTCAATCGTGAGGCCAAGCAAACTGCTCTTTATCTGCACTGTTCACAGCCATCACACACGTCTGTGCACTCATGTGCATATCCACAGAAGCACTATGCAAATTTGGCCTCATTTACTCCATCAGTTCTCTGGCCATCTGCTATGGTTGAGACTTGAATGTCTCCCCAAGGGCCCACGTGTTAGAAGGCCTGGTCTCCGGCCTGGGGCGTTCTGGCAGGCGGTATCATGGGGACATGGCTTGGAAGGGGATAGCGGGCCCCTAGTCTCTCTTTTTTTCTTTTGTTCCTGGCTGCCATAAGACGAGCAGTTCACTCTTCCTTGTGCTTCCGGCCTGGACCCTCTATGAACCAAAATATAAGCTTCTTCCTTTTAAATTCACTCTCCCAGGTATTTCACTACAGCAATGGAAAACTGTTAAATAGGCATTCAATTGCAAGAAACAGAAAGGCCCCATCTTGAGAGGTCAAATTGGGAGTCTTTACTAGAAAACCAGTAACTGCAGGTGGACTCCTGTCTCAAAGACCTGCAGCCCAGAAAGTAGTTTGCACAGCGCTTTTAAAGACAAAGCTGTGCTTGGGGTGGAGACTCAAGCCTTTTAGGGGAATACTCAAAGCAAACCATTTAGGGAAGCAGTAAAGGTGAGCAAGATGCAGCTGCAAGTTCTCGACAGCAGAGCTCTGCTAGCATTCCTGGAGCTAAACAACGTGACCCATCTACAGTAGTTCAAAGAATGGCCTATCTCACCTCTAGGCTTTTCCCCCATGACACCAGGATGGCTGTGGAACAAGGAGCTATTACATTTCGCTATCGTTATTCACCTATCAGCACTATCAGGTTCCTCCACTGTGTACACGGGGCACACTCGGAGGTGGCAGTAGACAAAGGGCAAAGGACACATTTCTAGTTAAACAACAAATGACAGGTGTGAAGCAAGTGGGGTTCAGGGAGCCTTCCTAGAGTTGGCCAGGCGGTGGGAGGGGGGGGGTATCAGATGTTATGAGGAGGGCCAGGACAGGACCAGTGGCACGGTTGCACCACAGCATGGAACCAAATGCACCCACTCTTTTCTCCTAGTCAACAAGGCTGGAAGGGCCAGTGTCCTCGCAGAGCATCCGGTCTCATGGGAGCCCATCTCAGAATCAAAGCTGCTTCTGGAATACCTGCAGCAAAGCAGAAAGAAACAATCCAAAGGCCAAAAGAAGCACGCTTTATTGAGTTTACAAGGCACAAGGTATTTGTAGTTAATTAGATAATTGCGTTGCGATAAAATTATACTTTATGGTATAATTATTAATGGTTCAAAGAGAAATAAACAGTATAAACAAAATAAGGCCCAGACCGTGAAAATGTAAACCACGTAAATCAAAATCCATAAAAAATTATTCAATGCTCAGAGGCCTGCGTAACATATGCATACAACATTTCTTATATACATATACAATAAAGGGCCACAAACCTTCACTCTGAAACCAGTCACTGCATATATATACGAAAATAAGGCTTTATCTTTAACCTCAATTTCATCTTCAACAGGAGGGCTGTGTGGCTTGAATTTATGCAAATCATGCTTTGTATTAAATAATCAAATGTCACCTACAGCATATAAAGCAGCAAGTAGAAAAAAATAAATTAGGGAAATGAACAGGACTTAAAATTAATGGTAAACAATTGCCTCGTTATCCAATATTATTTTCCAGTGAAATTAATATACTACCCAATGTGTCCAGAGGCATAAAAAGGAGTGTAGCTTAATTGTGGTATTAAAAGAAAATAGAGACAAGGGCGTTAACTCCCACAGGCATATGCAAAAAACAACTAAACTGAGCCTAAGTTAATAGCACTAAGTACTTTTGTTCTTACTGAAGGCAAACCTCAAATTTGAGAACACCTTCATGAAATTAAAATATGGAGTAAATAATCGTTGATCTCCCCGAAAGGCAATTAGGTGACTTTTCTTAAACAGATGTGCCAACTAGACATATGTCCCTAAACAGCATGGTGCAGCCATACTCAGATTCTCGAGGATGGCTAGTCTGTCTGTCCAAATGCAGCGGTAATGTCCCAATCAAGTTAGTGTGCCCACTGCATAACTGAGAAGCAAAGACCCAGATCATCTGCATCAAAGGAATGATCTTATTACAAATAGCAAGATAAATACAAGGATTTTCAGGAAGAAATAAGGGTCATATAATAAGATGCATATCAACACAGCTTGGGCAGTAAAACCCAAATATGTGTCCCACTTAGTAACACAGGTCCAATGGCCCACGTGTAACTCACCTGGGCTCCAAACCTCACTGAGTCCCAAGATTGGAAGGGGGGACAGCAAAGTTTTGTTTGACCATGCCACATAAAATATAACTACTCGCACCCCCCCCCCCAGTTTATCCTCACAGTGTCCCATGAACACTGGTCAGAAACGCTACCTATTTTTTCAAGGAACCAAAAACTACCACACAGCAACTCAGTTACTGGGGATATAATTTCCCAGTAAAAAGAATAAATGTCTTTAGTAGGGAGAAAGCACATTTTTAAAGGCTAAATGATGTAGTTATTTATCATTTTTTAGTGTAACATATCTAGTCAACTCCCATATTTTAAAAGAATGAAGTTTAAGTAATTTGAAGTTTGATCATAAAAACCATCTACAGGCTAGGTGCCAGTGGCTTCAACCTATAGTCCTAGCTACTCAGAAGGATGAAATCTGAGGATCAATGTTCAAAGCCAGCCCAGTCAGACAAGTCTGTTAAAAAAAAAAAAAAAACAGCACAATAGAAATTAAGCTCAAATGGTAAAGTACCAGCTAAGAATAAAAAAGCTAATAAGTTAGAGCAGGTGGCTGGTATTGGTTCACACCCCAAAAGAAAAGAGAAAAATCATCTACAGGAAGGTTGCCACATGCATGGCATTGTTTCCACTCAACAAAAAGAAACGTTTTGAACTTACATAATATAATAAATCACAGAGACCATTTACACAACTCTTGTTGGCAAGCTGCTTAGAGCCTGGGCCTACATGAATCTAGATAGGCTCAAGTCTTTCACTTGGAACACATTAATTGGCTCAAACTCCTGGGAGCAGGTATCACGGATCCACCTCGGGTCAGGTAGTGACTCCGCTGGCTTCTTGTTGTTGTTGTTGCATTTTTTGTTGTTCTTGCAAAGGCGGTGTACAGAGGAGTTACAGCTACATAAGTCAGATAAAGAGTACATTTCTTTTTGAACAATGTCACCGCTCTGTTGGCTTTTAAGTCATTTAGTTCAGTGTGGCAATCTATGAGATGCTTGAGGTTCTAGACTGATCAGGCTTCTGATGATTACATCAGTTAAACCAAGGACGCACCTTTTTTTTTAATACTTCTTTTGTTGCTTATTATTTAAGGAAGTTAATGTTTGAAACCAGGGGGTAATTAGGGGACTGGCACTGAATCACAGCTTTGAACTATGGAAAAGAGTAAAACAACATGGATATTTTCATATGGCAAATGGTAAGTCATTCTAATGCCAAGATACTTCTTCATGAGATATAAATTACATGCCATATAAATTATCCTTTCAAAGTGTACAATGCATCAGTTTCTTCATAAATGAAGAAAGGTCCACAACCATTACCACCATTGTCATTCTGGAACAATCTTGTTATTCTCCAAAGAAACCCATGCTCCTGAGCAGCCATGGTCAGCAGCCTGTTCCTCGGCCTCTTGTCCACCGCTGGTGCATACTTTTCTGCTGAACAACATTCCTGGCATTGTGCTTTCTATAGTATACGCCTTACAAGTTTACCTTAAAATTAAGTATTCTCAAGTTTGTATTCAATCCTTTTTCAAGCATGTTTTCTTTATACATAAAAAATAGATCTTTTCTTATCAGAGCCTAAAATGCAGCCTTTTTTTCTTCAATTAAATTGTTATCCTTTCAGAAGTGAGAAAAATCAATATCACCACATTTAAGAAGTGAGACACCTGCTCTACAGGTCCCTGGAGCAGCCCTTCCTGCTGCTAAGAATGCTACAAATTCCGAGAGGTGCCGGGGACCACGGCGTCTTTGAGGCTAAACTGCTGACTTTACAGAAAGGAAAAAAAATCTACGATGGGCCAGAGACTTAGCCCAGAGCACCAGGCTTCAGCGAGGCTTGGTTCAAAGTCCTCAGATGAGGACTGCCTTGGGTCAAGTGTGTAAGTAAGTCCCAGCAGAGGTTAGCTAACAGCTATGTATGAACCTGATTAAATCTGTGGTTTGTCAGACATCATTAACCTGAGCTCCTGATCTTGTTTTTTATTAAAAAAAAAAGAAAAGAAAAGAAAACAACCACCAGATAACAAACATAAACAAACTATCTTTAAGGAGTTACAACAAAAGTACCAGAAGGCCCAAATCTAATGGCTCACTGGGGAAGGAGCGCACATTCCACACCTCTCCATCGCACGCCACACCCTATTAGGAACCAATGAGTCACAGAACTCAGTGTGGGGGAAATGAAGACATTTCAGGGATGGTTGGGACTTAGCCACTGCAACAATTCTTCATCTGAGTAGACTTTTTGGAACCAGTCCCGGCCAGACTGGTGATGGATTTGCTGTCATCCTCCTCCGTCCTTTTCTTCACTTCCCTGGAGGTTGGTGGAAGCAAGGAAGAGGATTACTCAGGTACAAATTTAAGCCACAAATGGCTCAACAGAAATAAACAGCAATGCCGAGGGCTGCGTGAGCCGTGCAGACATGGCTCTAAATTCTTGGCAGGTGTCAACTGACTAAAACTTCACGAGAACCCTCTGGGTTAATTGTGTCCCCTTGTGCATGTGAGGAAAAGACGACAAAGAGGTTAAGAAATTTCCCTTTGATTAAATGGATTCAAATCAAACAGACTGGTTCTAGGGCCTGCGTTCTGACCACCAGGTCTTTCTCTTATCTCTCCTCTCTCTCTCTCTCTCTCTCTCACACACACACACACACTCTCACTTCCAGGTGTCAGAATGCTGTGTGAACTGCCACCTGCACAGGTCACTCTAACACTCTGGGCCCCGGCTTCCCTCCTCAGGTCATACTTGCTGCCCCTCCTGAAAGCAACAGATTTCCATTCTTCAATTGTCATGACAATGGAGATAACAATAGTTAAAACCCAAGTCTTCTTTTGTCTCTTCTAACATTTCTTTTAAGAGACAGCACTGAATAGTAGTAATAATAATAATAATATAGTAGCTGGAGATGCAGTGGAATGTGAAGACTGAAGTCACCTTGACAGACAACAAGAATGCTCAGTGGTCAAGATCATGTGGGACAGCTTATCTCTCAGATAATTCCACCTTTCCTTCTTAGTGCCTGGAGCACACTATCAAGAGGTGGAGCTCTGTCCTCTTCTCTTGGTCAGAACTGGCTCTCAGATAGCTGTAACTGAAGAATCTGGAGGGAAGGGTGCTCTTGGACTTCCAGATCCAGGGCTTAATCATGCCTGGCTGATTCAGCATCTTCCTGCTCGAGGCCTCAAGCTTAGATGGTCAGTGCTACTTAATGCACAGAGACCACCACAGTGCCACAAAAAAGGAGAACCCGTATGGACAGAGCCACAAGAAGGGGCGAACTGGTGGCAGACACTCAGCAGCTTCTCAGACACAGCTCTGGGCGTCATCTGCCTGCACACATGCAAGGCACCTCAAGCAACAGCAGTTGAGGAACTTTCCAGCTGATAGTCAGCCAATTCTGGTAATTGTGAGAGGAAAAAGAAATAGATGGTGTTTAAGGAGATTATGTTTTGGTATGGTTCATTCTGGAGCAGTTAACTGAAACTACTGGGAATCTTTCCAATAGAGCAACATTGTTCAATAGAAATGTAATGTGACCCACATCTCACTTCAAATGTTTTAGTAGCAATATATATACATATATGTGTAATGTAAAAAGCAGCTGAGTGTGGGTGGCTCCTGCCTGTAACCTTAGCTCCTGCGGAGATGAGGAACAGGAGGCCCGAAGTTCAAGGGAATAGCACGAGACACGCTTCTCATCCCATTGCTGGGCACAGCATGCATGCCTGCCATCTCAAGCTATGTGGGAGGCTGAGAGTAGGAGGGCTGCGGCCCCACACATGCCTAGAGGAGTCAGTAGAACTTCATGTCTTTGGAGAAAAGCTGGATTCAATGGCGTGCCACTCAGCACACCAGGGAGCCGACAGTAGGCAGAGATGGCCGAGCAGGTGCGCTTCCAAGTAGACAGCAAGACCCCAGCTCAAAAAATAACCAGCTGTGCTAGCCTGGCAAGTGTGAGGCCCTGCGCCCAAACCCCAGTTTGCTGAAAGAGAAATAAGGAGGATTAAAAAAAAAAAACATAAAAAGAAACAGGTGTGCTTAATTTAAATAACACACTAGTATCTTTTAGTTAATGCTGAACAGTGAAAATGTTACCATTTCAGAGTCAGTAATAGTATTGAGATAATTTATAATTGGCATACTGTCTTCAAGATCATACATACATATAACCTATACAACACATGGCCTCTTGAACTCTGGCCACATTTCAAGCCACCAGAATAGCCAGTGCAGTTTCAAGAAGCTCTTATTTGCTCTAACTTCTGAAAACCACTAATAATTTTTAAAAAAGAATTCAGCAAGAAGAAGCAATGGAAATCACTTCTTGCTGTAGGCCAGCTAATGAGCATTCTTCTTCCTCAGAGATTCCATGCACGCCAACGCTGATAGGGCACTACTGCCCTTCCTTAGTAGATGAGAAAATGAAGCCTCAGACAAAGAGACTGATCACCCCACAGCACCTCAAAAGCTCCTTTCAGACTGCAGTCATGAGAACTGTCAGATGACTGCAGATGCGTAGGCCACACTTCTGTGGGAATTTATTAGAGAGACAATAGAAAATTCATGAACCTCCAAATGCAAAGTCTCAGTCATGTCGTCATTTAACAAATTTCCAATTTATCCCAAGGTAAGGGAGCGATGATGGAGAACAAGGACCTGAGCAAGCAACAGCATGATCCTGAGCAGATGACCGGTGTGCAGAACCCTTCACAGAGCGGCAGGGACTCTGAGAGGACTCCTGAAAGACAGGAACTCCCTGGAAGGTGAGTTCCAGGTGCGGGAAGATTATGCAGGAAAAACAGAGGCAGCAAAGAGGTGGGACACAATTAGATGCTCAGTTTGCTACATCTAGAGTATTCACTTTGGAAACAAGGGCATTGACTGGAGAAGTAGGTAAAGTGGGGTAATGAAATGACTGCCAGCCACAGGCTGAAGAGCTTAGGCGTTTAACTGAAACAGAACACTGATGAGGAGTTGTGAGCAAGAAAGCAAATATAAATTGTGTTTTAGAAACACTTTATGGGACTGAGAAAGAAGCTCAATGATAGAATGCCTGCCTTGCATGCATGAGGCCCTGAGCTCCATCCCAATGTGGAAAAAATACAGACAGCAAGCTTGACACGGGGAAATCTAAGACAGACGCCGTGGGCATCATGTTAGAAAACTGTAAGGCAGAGGAGGAGAGATGGGAATACAGATTCGCTAGACAGACACAAACACCACTGTATCAACAGGGCTCTGAAGTCAATGGACATAGGGAATTAGGCAAGAAAGGAGACAGGAGAAGAAAGAAATGGTGACTGAGCTTGGCTGACTAGGTCTTAACTGATTTTTGGTAGATTCCTGAGAAAAAGAGCATAGAATGGGAGATAATTATAAAGAAATACTGTGTCAGCTGGGTACTGGTAGCTCATGCCTGTAGTTCTAACTACTCAGGAAGCGGAAACAGGAGCATCAAGTTCAGAACCACCCTAAGCAGGAAAGTCTGTGAGACTCTTATCTGCACTTAATGCCCCCCAAAGCCGGAAGTGCAGTGGTGGCTCAGGCAGTATAATACCAGCCTTGAGCAAAAGAAGCTCAGGGACAGTGCCCAGGCCCTGAGTTCAAGCTCCAGGGCTGGTGAAAGCAAGAGGGAGGAAGGGAGGAAGGGAGGAAGGGAGGGAGGGAGGGAGGGAGGGACAGAGGAAGGGAGGGAGGGAGGGAGGGAGGGAGGGACAGAGGAAAGGAGGGAGGGAGGGAGGGAGGGAGGGAGGGAGGGAGGAAGGGAGGGAGGGAAGGAGGGAGGGAGGGACAGAGGAAAGGAGGGAGGAAGGGAGGAAGGGAGGAAGGGAGGGAGGGAGGGAGGGAGGGAGGGACAGAGGAAGGGAGGGAGGGAGGGAGGGAGGGAGGGACAGAGGAAAGGAGGGAGGAAGGGAGGGAGGGACGGAGGAGGAAAGGACAGCATCTGTGGAAATTCCAGTTATTCCATTTGGTAGCTCAGAATGCACTTACAGTATTTAAAAAACAGGTAGGAGTAAAAAAAAAGTATGGCAACTTTAAGTGATCATCTGGAGATGATTTCAGTAACTATGGTGATATAACACATCAGAAGGAGACATAAAATGAAAAAGAGGGGCTGGGAAGGTGGCTCAGTGGTAGAGTGCTTGCCTTGCAAGCATGAGGCCCTGGGTTGGATTCCTCAGCACCACATAAGCAGAAAAAGCCAGAAGTGGCGCTGTGGCTCCAGTGGCAGAGCGCTAGCCTTGAGCTGAAGAGCTGAGGGACAGCGCCCAGGCCCAGAGTTCAGGCCCCACGACAAAAAAAAAGGAAAGAAAAAGAAAAAGACAAAGAAAGGCCATAGGAATACAGAAAGGAATGTGTGTGCGCGCGCGTGTGTGTGTGTGTGTGTGTGCGCGAGCATGCGTGTGCGTGCGTGTGCGTGCGTGTGTGTGATAACCAGGGCTTGAACTCAGGACCTCGTGCCCTCACCTGGCTTCTTCACTCACGGCTGATGCTCCACCCTCTGAGTCACACCTCCACGTACAGTTTTTTGATGGTTAAGTGGAGATAAGAGTCTCATGGCCCTTTTTCCTGGGTTGGTTTCACATTAGGCTCCTTAGGTCTCGGCCTCCTGCATAACTGGATGATAGGCATGAGCCGCTGGCTCTCGGGTTAACAACAATGAAGTAGCCAGCCAGTGATTCAGGCCAGTAGTGAACAGGCCTGGCCAGGTCACTTGGGCCAACTGCTGAAGCCTTTTCACCCCCACATTTCCTTGTCTGTAGACAGGTGTGGAGTCATAGCATCCTCACAAGAAAACCTCCTGGCTGCCTGCGGGGAGGGGGCCTGCGGCTTCTGTGAGGCGCACAGGGCGTGGCCCCCCGGTAAATATACGCCCTCCTTGCTTCCCTTGGCATTCTGCTGAATCTGGCACTGGGCTCTGCACATGCCCCATTCTCATCATAATGAACACATTTTATTTAGCCTGGAATCAGATATTAAATATACAGCCACATCTTGGTCAGGCCTACCAAAAAAAACAAAAAAAAGGCAAAACCCACCTTAAGAAAACCAGAAAACAACTTTACCAAAAAGAACCATGTTTAATAACCACATAGTTTAGTGTGTGCACTTATAATGGACTCAGCTCATGCCCAGAACTGCTATGCTTTTTGCCCACGGGTTTTTCTTCAACTTTAGGCTACTGACCAAATAAATGTCTGTTGAATGTGAGCCTACTACTGGAACTATTGAAAGCCTTGATCTAGTGATGACAATGATTGTGAGAGATGGCCTAACAGTGCTCTATGGAAATTGTGTTTCTAGGAGACGCTTTTCCTGGGATGGAGAGATTTTCCAAGAAGAACAGAATGGTTTGGCCATTATTTACACACAAAGAGCCTTTTCAAAAGAAAAATCTGTTCCAGACAGTACAAACCCATATGGTCTTCCAGCTCACAATTTATGATAGGCTAAGTCGTGGAGAGGACCATGCTGGGATCACGCTCTGAGAGCTACATCAAACACTTCTGTGTTTTCTATCATATGTTATTTTCTAAAGGTTGTAAAGCTTTTTAAAATGAGGATTCTACCTGTGGAGAATACAACATTGCCATTATAGACTTAAACACTTTGATAAGCAGATCTGACAGGCAGAGCACAAATCAATTAAAACCTTTATGTACTTGCTTCATTCTTTGAGTGTATGTGTGTGTTGTGTTTGTGTGTACCTGCACGCGTATGCACATGTGCACGTGCCAGCCCTGGAGCTTTAACTCGAGGCCTGGGCTGTCCATTTGAGCCACAGCACCACACTCCCAGGTTTTTTGGTGCTTAATTGAGGATAAGAATCTCACACTTTCCTGCCCAGACTGACTTTGAACCTCAGTCCTCAGACCTCAGTCTCCTAAGAAGCTAGGATTACAGGTGTGAGCCACCAGTACCTGGCACTACTCACAATTTTTATATTGAACACATTAGGCCCAAATTAGGCCATAATTTAATACAGAGGAAGTGACATCTCTATGAGGCAATAGTGAGGAGAGGCCATGTTTGGGGTGTGATCAAGATACAAGTATTCATTTAACTTTTATAGGCTTCCACGTGACAACTGAGCACTAAGTAGTGTTACATCATTCACAGGGACGACCGATGGTATTACAAAGGAACTTTGAGACCTCCACTCATTTTGTTGTATCATTTCTAAATGACTCCATGTTCTTGACCACATATATGGGGTGTGTGTGCGTGTGTGTGTGTGTGTGTGTGTGTGTGTGTGTGCGCGCGCGCATCTGAGGGAAGCTAAGAGGAGGGCACAGAATCAGAGGGAAACGGGAGGAAATATACAACAGAGGGGCCCATCGGGGCGCTGGACATCGAAGGAAACAAACTAAGCAACTCAAGGGCAGCGATGGGAGGGAGGGATGGGAGGGAAGAGGGAGCAGCTGACACTAAGCCAAAGGAAAGAAAGGTACATATCACCCCATGTGGAAGAAATCGTATTGTCAAAACTCATAGAATTCAAACATTACAGACCATGATAATGACCATTTGCCTTGTGAAGGCTAAAGTGTGCTTGTGACTTTAAGTATCACTATCTCACAATACTGTGAAATTTGTAAAATTTATGTAATCACTTAATCTCAATTAAAAAAAAATCATAAAAAAGAAAGGCGGTGGTTTTATTCAGCTTCCCCTGCCCATTCTAGAGATTGCTGGAGACACCGCAAGTGAGACACGGGCTTGTTAAGACTCCATGGCTCTTTGGAGTGCATTTGTTTAAGAGTGAATTCGGAGTTACCCCCGTACATAGGGCAGTAACCAGCCACCACACCCACCTGGAGTTATCTCTTATTTGAAACGCTTGTGACCATGAGGATTTCCAATTTCAGAATTTGGTAGATTCTGGAATACATGTATAGACTTTACATAGTATTCAGTATTCCTAATCCAAGAAACCAGCATCTGAAATGTTCCAAAATTCAAAGTCTTTGACCACCACTGTCCACAATCCTAAAGTTTCAGACTTTGGAGCGTTTAGGATCTCTGAGTTTCCGGCTATAGTTGCTCTAAGGCGTGACTGCAGCATCCTTCTCCAAAGCTTAGGCAGCTCTGGGCTCACACAGAATCTGGTCCAATGATGCTTTAAAGACCAACCTTCCTCCCCCAACAATACGGCACATCTGCTACATCACCTCCACCCAGGAATCCTGGAAGGTTGCAAATACTAACACAGCCATGTGACACAGCCGATCAACTATTCTACCTCACTAAAGAAAAATGCATTTCACTGAACTCTCCTCCTTTATTACACGTGCCTTGAGAATAAACAAAACAGTGTGCTTAAACACAATGCTAATCCAAATGCATGCCAAGATATGCCAAGATAACTTAGATGAATCTCTTCAAGTTTAAATGTTGGCTTTTATTCTAGCCTGGTCTAGGCAACACTCAAAGTTTAAACAGTGTTTAAAGAATTTTTTTTTGCTTTAAACAAAGATGATTTGTTTATGTCTTTGGGGAGAAGGCTATCTCTCTTGGACTGAAGTCGAAGGGGAAAATGGTCAAAGTATAAGCCCAGCACATCTGCCAACCCTGCCACAAACTGATGTGACCCAAGCTACCTCAAGTTCTGAGTCCTGTTTACTTGGTTTATTCAAGTCAAGACAGCCATTTTTTCAAGGCCCTAACCCAACCACTCAGCTAATATTAGTCTAATTTATAGACATTTAATACCAAGTCATTAATCAAAAGGTATCACTGAAAACACTGCAAAGTATTGTAACAGTCTATGTTTAGTAGGAGAGGCCAATTATAGAACTAAAGGCTCTCAGACACAATAGAAAAATAATTGTGTGCCTAAAACTATATATTTGTTTTCTGTGCAATTAGAAATTACTATCCTGAATTTTGCTTATGCATCTTTCTTCCTTTTGTTGTGCGGACATTGGGCAGGAAGTGGTGGTGGTTGTTACAGAAACCCTTTAAGATAGGAAGAATCATCTAATCGTCTTTCCATTTATAACAGAAAGACTAAGCAGGTAATGTTGTAATTTCCTAAAAATACTTCAAGAATTAAAATATGCACATTTATATAAAAGTTCTTTAAAGATGCAATTCTTAATCTATATCACAAAATGTTATTTGTGATTAACACCATTTCCTTAGCTTAACAATTACCCAGGTAATAATTTTGACATCGTGATTCCAACTAGCATGATGTGCAATTTGCTTTGCTAGAAGCTTTTTTTTTCCTTTTCATCTAGAAAAATGACATACTAGATAGTTGTATTCATAATAGACACTGGTGTTTAAAATGTGGTTCCTGGAGATGATTTGCACAAGTCAACTATTAGCTTTGTGCTGACATTTTGCAGAAATGTCAACGACACCTCAGATGCACCTGTTTTGTTTGGCAGTAAGGATGTTTGATATTTTACCAATATTCAGGGGGTGAACAAGTAGCATTGCTGAGGGTTATAATATCCATGTGCATTGGGCTGAAACACGGGACAGTATTTGATCTGCATGCCAGGGTGGAGGAATTTGACGTGTACATTAACTAGGTAACAGCTCCAACCAACCCGAGGCGCCCCTTACCGAGCAAGGTGCAGAGCGGCTTCCACTACGTTGGAGCCATCTTTGGCACTTGTCTCACAGAACAACGCCCCGTAGGTCTGCAGAAAAGAAAGAAATCCACACACAGCAACAGAGCTTTCAACTGGGCCTTTTGACATTTTAGCTATTAGAAACAATAAAATCCAGCAAAGCACACTTTCCCACTGAGCATGCTAACAGTGACTAACAATTAGGAAACTGAGTTCAAGCTGAGCGCCAGAGGCTCACACCTGTCATCCTAGCTACTCAGGAGAATGAGATTTGAGTATCACAGTTCAAAGCCAGCCCAGACAAACAAATCTAAGAGATTCTTATCTCCACCTAACCAACAAAAAGCCAGAAGTAGATCTGTGACTCAAGTGGCACAGTTCGAATTGAGAAAAAGGCCAAACAAGCATGTGAAGTCCTGTGTTAAAGCCCCCTGGGCCAGCACATGCACATGTGTGCATGTGTGTACTCACACATATGCGCACTTGCATGCACGCGCACACACACACACGCACAAACTGAATTGCAATTTTAGTATTCAAAAAGTAGCAAATCTGATTGTAATTATTCCAGAAATAGTTTTTAGTCAGAGGATTATTTTGCATTGAAAATACGTAAGATTTCATATTTTACCTGCAAAAATCATATACATGGGCTACCAAATGCTATCTATCACATAATTTAAGAGCTAAAATGCAACCCTGAAGAAGCCAGTCAGGATTCAGACGTCCATCGAAAGTCTGGTTGCTCTGTGCCAGCAGCTAAGCAAGGCCTACCAGGAGCCGTGGTCCTTTCATTCTGCTGTGGTCCTGCACAGGGACTAGTGCTTTAATTAGATTCTTGTATTTGTACTTGGCTTTTTTGCTCACAGCTGGTGCTCTACCTCTTTAACCACATTCCAGTCCAGCGTTTTGCCGGTTAATTGGAAATAAGACAACTTTCCTGCTTGGACTAGCTTCGAATCAAGATCGCATTTCAGCACCGGCAACCACGGTGCTCTTAAGGAGCACTCAGCCCACTGCAGTCCTGTTGTTCACCTTGTTGATGGCAATGGGTGTGACCAGTGCACCAACGTTCTCTTTCAATCCCTTCTCTGCTTCGCATTCTTCTTTAGGTTATGGCCCTGCTTATGCAGCCTTGGCTGATCTCCGTTTTACCCCAACGACTCTAGCCTTCTCTGTCTTTCTCCGGTGCCCAACTCTCCACTGACCTCAAGACCCTCGTACCTGCCTGGTCTTCCAATTACTTAGGTTGCCCTGACCCCTCCATATCCTTTTCTTTTCTTTTTTTCAAATTTTTTATTGTGATTAAGTGGTTACATAATTTCCAAATTTCACAGTATTGTGGGATAGTGAAGCTTAGTTCAAAGCCACAAACACATTCTAACTTTCCCAGGACAAACTGTCTATCATGGTCTATAACATTTATGAGTTCTATAAGCTTTGCTATACAGTTATTTCTTCCACATTGGGTGGTATGTACATTTCTTTTGTTTTGCACAGCGTCAGCTGTTCCCTCTTTCCCACTCGTTCCCTCCCTCCCTCCCATCGCTGCCACTGAGTTGCTTAGTTCATTTTGGTCAATGTCCAGCGCAGTTGATGGGTCCTGCTGTTGTATGTTTTCCCCTGATTCCCTCTAGTTCTATGGCGTCCTCCTGGTTTCCTTCCAGTGTGCACTTTCAATATCCTTTTCTCTAATCTGACTCCTCCTCATTTTGGAGATCCTAAGGTAACCCCTGAAGTTCAGATTAAGTAGAGTCTAACCTTGAATAGCTCTACCAAGTCTTCCTGGTAGAGATAAAACCTCACAGATATTTTCTGAGTAGTACTTGCAACAAGTTCAATTTCTAGTGTTACTTCTGTTTCTGTCCAACAAGCAGGAGACATTTTATCTTAAGAAAGGTGAACTGAAGCCAGGCTCTAGCGGCTCATGCCTATAATCTGACTACTCTGGAAGCTGAGATTTGAGGCTCAGGATTCGAAGCCAGCATCAGCAGGAAAGTCCATGATACTCTTTTCTCCAACCACCAAAAAGAGGAAAGCAAACTGTGACTCAAGTGCAAGAGTATTAGCCTTGAACAAAAAAGTTCAAGGACAGCACCCAGGCCCTGAGTTCAAGCCCCAGGATAGGCACAAAAAGAAAAAAAAGAAAAAGGAAAATAAAGAAGAACTGGGTGTGTTGAGGGCCTCGACGTGGGCTTAACATTCCCATATGTGGTAAGGGAGGATCTGATGGCTTGGTGGAACAAGGAGGCAGAGGAGAGACCAAGATTGGGGAAGACTCCACAATGGGACCTGCATCCAGCCGCCCTAAGTGATAGGAAAACATATACATACCAGGGAAGAAGGAAATGGGTGGTAGAAACAAGTAGTGGTATCAAGGTGCATGTATCTTCCATCTATCATCCTAGCTACTCAGGAGACTGAGAACTGAGGATCGCCATAGGAAGCCAGCGTAGGCAGACAAATCTATGAGAGTGTTATCACCAATTAAGCAGCAAAAGGCCCAAAGACAGAGGTGTGGCTCAAGCAGCAGAGCACCACCCTGAGAGAGAGCCAAGGGTCCTGAGTTCAACCTCAGTACCAGCATGTGCATGTGCATGCACATGCACACACACATACGGACACAGGTTGTGCTAAAGCTGACTTCTATATGCAGGATGTCATAGGATGACATGTGAGGATGTAGGAAACTGGAAGTCATAACGTGCTTGAGGAAACAAACGAAGACAGAGGGCGAATGAGACCGGAAGGGGACAGAACATTCCAAAACCCCCAGAAGGACCAGGGCTGCCTGCTTTGCCTGCTGATCTTTTCTCAACCCATAATAGAGTAGACATGACTACAAGTGCTGACTGCATCTCCTTCGCATTTCACTGTCAAGTTTTAATGTTTACCATATTTGGTCTGCAGTTATAATACTCAAAATATGCATCTGATTAAAATTTGTAATGTGAAACTTTATGCATGGCCAGTAATCCTAGCTACTCAGGAAACAGATTTGAGGATCATGATTCAAAGCCAGCCCAGGTAGGAAAGTCCGTAAGACTCCTATCTACAATCAATCACCAAAAAGCTGAGAGTGGAGATGTGGCTCAAGTGATGAAGTACTAGTCTTAAACAAAATAGCTCAGGGACAGTGCTGAGGCCCTGAGTTTAAGTGTCAGGATGGATACACGTGCGCGCGCGCGCATACACACACACACACACACACACACACACACACACACACACGAAAAAGGAAAAGGAAAAGGAAAAAAGTGTCCTTCCTTGGTGCCAGCCACCAATACCAGACATCAAATGAGGCTGACAACAGGTGGACCTGCTCAAGGGAAGGAGAGTCCTTCTAAAGGCCCAACAACAGGTGGACCTGCTCAAGGGAAGGAGAGTCCTTCTAAAGGCCCGGCAACCTTCACACCCCGACAGTGATGGAAGAAAACATTCCCACAGTAGTAACCCACACAGAACTTAAATTCTTCCTTCTGCTAATGTTAACCCAAGAAAATGCCAGACGAAGCACAAATCTGTGTCTGTGTCTCTGTGTACGTCTTGGGCTTCACATTCTCCTTCGCTTTTCACACAAGGCTAGCACTCTTATCACTTGACCCACAGCTCCACATCTGACTTTTTTCAGGTTAATTAGAGATAAGAGCCTCACAGACTTTTCTGTCCAGCCTGGCTTTAAACTGTGATCCTTGGATCACAGCCTCTGGAATAGCCAAGGATGACTGCAGGAAGAGCTCTGGAGTGGTCAGGATGATTACAGGAAGAGCTCTGGAGTGGTCAGGATGACTGCAGGAAGAGCTCTGGAGTGGTCAGGATGATTACAGGAAGAGCTCTGGAGTGGTCAGGATGACTGCAGGAAGAGCTCTGGAGTGGTCAGGATGATTACAGGAAGAGCTCTGGAGTGGTCAGGATGACTGCAGGAAGAGCTCTGGAGTGGTCAGGATGATTACAGGAAGAGCTCTGGAGTGGTCAGGATGATTACAGGAAGAGCTCTGGAGTGGTCAGGATGACTGCAGGAAGAGCTCTGGAGTGGTCAGGATGACTGCAGGAAGAGCTCTGGAGTGGTCAGGATGATTACAGGAAGAGCTCTGGAGTGGTCAGGATGACTGCAGGAAGAGCTCTGGAGTGGTCAGGATGATTACAGGAAGAGCTCTGGAGTGGTCAGGATGACTGCAGGAAGAGCTCTGGAGTGGTCAGGATGATTACAGGAAGAGCTCTGGAGTGGTCAGGATGACTGCAGGAAGAGCTCTGGAGTGGTCAGGATGACTGCAGGAAGAGCTCTGGAGTGGTCAGGATGACTGCAGGAAGAGCTCTGGAGTGGTCAGGATGACTACAGGAAGAGCTCTGGAGTGGTCAGGATGATTACAGGAAGAGCTCTGGAGTGGTCAGGATGATTACAGGAAGAGCTCTGGAGTGGTCAGGATGACTGCAGGAAGAGCTCTGGAGTGGTCAGGATGACTGCAGGAAGAGCTCTGGAGTGGTCAGGATGACTGCAGGAAGAGCTCTGGAGTGGTCAGGATGACTACAGGAAGAGCTCTGGAGTGGTCAGGATGACTACAGGAAGAGCTCTGGAGTGGTCAGGATGATTACAGGAAGAGCTCTGGAGTGGTCAGGATGACTACAGGAAGAGCTCTGGAGTGGTCAGGATGACTACAGGAAGAGCTCTGGAGTGGTCAGGATGATTACAGGAAGAGCTCTGGAGTGGTCAGGATGATTACAGGAAGAGCTCTGGAGTGGTCAGGATGACTACAGGAAGAGCTCTGGAGGGGTCAGGATGATTACAGGAAGAGCTCTGGAGTGGTCAGGATGACTACAGGAAGAGCTCTGGAGTGGTCAGGATGATTACAGGAAGAGCTCTGGAGTGGTCAGGATGATTACAGGAAGAGCTCTGGAGTGGTCAGGATGACTACAGGAAGAGCTCTGGAGTGGTCAGGATGATTACAGGAAGAGCTCTGGAGTGGTCAGGATGATTACAGGAAGAGCTCTGGAGTGGTCAGGATGACTGCAGGAAGAGCTCTGGAGTGGTCAGGATGACTACAGGAAGAGCTCTGGAGTGGTCAGGATGACTACAGGAAGAGCTCTGGAGTGGTCAGGATGATTACAGGAAGAGCTCTGGAGTGGTCAGGATGATTACAGGAAGAGCTCTGGAGTGGTCAGGATGACTACAGGAAGAGCTCTGGAGTGGTCAGGATGACTACAGGAAGAGCTCTGGAGTGGTCAGGATGATTACAGGAAGAGCTCTGGAGTGGTCAGGATGATTACAGGAAGAGCTCTGGAGTGGTCAGGATGATTACAGGAAGAGCTCTGGAGTGGTCAGGATGATTACAGGAAGAGCTCTGGAGTGGTCAGGATGATTACAGGAAGAGCTCTGGAGTGGTCAGGATGATTACAGGAAGAGCTCTGGAGTGGTCAGGATGACTACAGGAAGAGCTCTGTATCCAGGATGACTATAGGAAGAGCCACCAGTGCCCGGCCAAAGCACAATCTTTCCTTTCTTTTTATGTTTTAAAAAATCATCTTTCGCCGGGCGCCAGAGGCTCACACCTGTCATCCTAGCTACTCCAGAGGCTGAGATCTGAGGATCGCCTTTCAAAGCCAGTCCAGGCAGAAATGTCCATGAGACTCTTATCTCCAATAAACCACTAGAAAACCAGAAGTGGCGCTGTAGCTCAAGCAGTAGAGCACTCGCCTTGAGCTGAAGAGCGCAGAGACAGCACCCAAGCCGAGTTCAAGCCCCACGACCGACAAAAAAAAAAAAATTATCTTTAAGTGGTTTTACAAAGGAGTTGGCATTTAACAAATCAGTTTCTGAATGCACTACCTCTTGATCAACGTCTCCCCTTTCAACATTCTCACCCATTCCCACCTTACCTACCTTGATCCTCACCCTTCCTAATTTTGTACAATATACACTGGATGGTATTCTCTCTTCTCCTCTCTTCTCCTCTTCATTCCCTTTCCTCTTAACCCCATCACATGCCTTTTGAATACCTGCTTCCTGGTGTTTCACTTGGCTAAACTTTGACTTTGCCTTTCTAAGGAATTACACTATTTCAGTTCTCTATTGAATCTACTGTTTATCAGTTAATATACTTGTATACACTTGTATATCACCCAAAGTGTTTATTTACAAGTGTGTAAGCTAAATTTAGCTTCCATATATAAAGGAAAATATGCATCCTTTGTCTCTGTAGGCCTGATTTCACCTGACCTACTTTTTCCAGGTCTTTCTGTTTCTTTACAAATGGTATGGTATCATTCTTTCTAACAGATGGGAGGAATTCCATTGTGTGTGTAACACATTTTCTGATCCATTCATCCTCTCAGGGGCATCTGGGCTGATCCCATGCCTGATCCAAAGCACAAATCTTCAGAAAGAAGCCTTCGCATTCCCTTGAGGTCAGGCAAAACAGTGCTCTGTAGGTTGCCTCTCTGAAATTGATCCTATCTTAATAAAGTAGAATACTCCTTCTTTTCCTTTCATTCAGGAACCAGACAAGAAGGAAGAGAAATGGGAGATTACTGTGGTCACTTTTGTCAATAAAAATCAGTGGGAAAATGATGATGAGATTGTCTTCCCTTCCTGAAGAATTTACTCCTAGCCATAATTACTTCAATTCCTGCAGAGCAAAGCACTGGGAACTCGACTGGTGTAAGAAAGACAGACACCTCGTCAGACAAGGTGGAGACTTGTCAACCTCTTGCACAAAAGAAAACTAAAGTGAAAGGCCACTAACTCTGAAGCCATTACACCCCTCTATTCTCTTCCAGGTCTAGCCCACCCTCTTACCATGGCCAGTTTTTCTCCAAAATACCCTGCGACACACTTTTGTCCTTCGGCAGCGGCGGTGTCACGAAGATCAGCCTTGTTTCCTACCAGCATGATAGGAATGGTCTCATGGGTTGCATCCTATAATGAAAAAAAAAAAAAAACAGGCATCCATCAAACATTGACAAATTACAGTGACAACAGCCACTATGGTCATAATAGAAACAGTTGTCTAGTTGCTACAAAAATGTAAATAAAATATCATTGCATTCATAGTTTTTCTCCTGTGTGTGCTGGTACTGGGGCTTGAACTCAGGGCCTGAGCAATGTCTTTTAGCTTTTTCACTCAGGGATGCTACTCTACTACTCGAGCTACACCTTCACTTCTGGCTTGCTGCTGGCTAATTGGAGCTAAGAGTCTCATGGACTCACAGATACTCAAACCAAAATCCTGAGATCTCAGTCTCCTCAGGAGGTAGAATTACAGGCACAAGTACCTGGCTTCATTCATAGTCATTTTAGCTGTATTTGGGAGAATAAAGTGCTTATTTGTTATTATTTTCTTAAGTCTTATTGCTAATTGCAACCTAAAAATTATTTATATTTAAGATAATATCTTTAAACTTCAAAAATCTCCCTCAGTACAACCATGCTTATGTCCCCATTTTCAGGTAAGAAAACTGAAATTCAGAGAGTTAAGAACATCTCAGAGCCAAGGCCTGGATCCAAACTGACTACACAACCCCCAACTACTCCATCCTCCATCCTTGCTAATGAAAAAGGGAACAGGCACTGAGAGTAATCAGATTTACAGCAAAGGAAATAGGTATCTGCTAATTTCTAGCACAATAACCAGTATCAACTAAGAGGCATGACCACTGACATCGATCTAGTTGGGAGTACAAAGAAGATAACAGAAAATATTCTGAACATGTAAAACTCAGAGAATTCATCAGGTTTCAGGTATCTCCTTCCAGCCTTTACTTGGTCATTCAACAAATTATTCGTAGCAGGCAAATTATAGGCAGAATCCTATTACAAAATTTTGTAGCCCAATATTTTCTATATGTGCCAGTCCTAGGACTGGAACTCAAGGCCTGGGTGCTGTCCCTGAGCTTTTTTATTCAAGGTTAGCACTCTACCAACTGAGCCACAACATTACTTTCAGCTTTTTAGCAGTTGTTTGGAGCTAAAACTCTTTCCTGCCTAGGCGGGCTTCAAACTGTAATCCTCAGTTCTCGGCCTCCAAAGTAGCTAGAATTACAGGCATTAAGCAGCAGCACCTGGTAACCTAGTGACTTTTAATCAAGGTATGCCAACGGTCAGTTCAGAGGTCCACACATTACTAACAGTCTATTGCTTCTCAACCCCTAACCTGTCTCAGAGATGGTGTTACCCAACTAAGACTGGGCACTCACCGTGGTCTTTATAGGATTGCCCCCAAGCTAGAAAGACATCATGGAGAAGCTTCACTGCACTCATTCTTTCCCTACAATGAAATTCAAATGCCACATAGTATCTACTTTTCCCCATAACAAATTGAAGAGTGAATTCTGAATAGTTTTCCTCCTTTCAGATCCCATGAAAACAAAGTATCAACACTGAAAGAATTGCTGGCCACAGTGAGGTGCTCAGAAAATTAGATCTCCTTTTCCTGGGCATACTGTAATCTAAAATTTAATCTAATGACTAAGCAAGACATTTCAGCACTGGAATGCTTTGCTCAGGACTCAACTGTCCCATGCCAGGGAGGGCTATTTGTCCCTATGAGTAGAAATACCTTCTACATGCATGGCCAATCAGACTTCGGCATCCATTTCTTTTCATTAAAGGCTTATTCTGTAAAACCTGCTGCTTGCTCTGTGCTTTATCTAAGAAGCCACCAGTGTTGACTGAAGCCCAATTTAGACCCCATTCTACTTCTAACCAAGCAAGTACCATATGCTTCCTACACCTCCAGTTTGCCATATATGAGAATATTTCTGACTTCCTTAGGCAGATGTTAGAGAGAGGAATGCAGCATATGGAAACATTTTGAAGTAACCATATTACACATATAAGTATATTTTTGTTACATTTATTATAATTTCACATTACTATCTTTTGATGGGATGATGTACACATTTATTATTGCTGAAGTCATATTTCTTTATTATTTTCTATTTCTTTATTATTATGTTTGTTAGAAAGAACATCCATTTCAGGGATTAACTTCAGATCAGATAGCAACCGTCCTGCTTAGCTTTAACGTCTATTTAAAATTATAGATGATATAGATGAAGAGTCAGCTAATAGTTTATTTGACAAGACAGTACACTGAACCACAGCCCAAACTGTAGCTTTTTGTGGACTCATAACTGTTGGCAGGACATTAAATGTGGTCAAAATCATTTCCTACAGTAAGAATTCTTAGTGGGAGCTGGTGGTTCATGCCTATAATCCCAGCTACTCAGGAGGCTGAGATCTGAGGATCATGGTTTGAATCCAGCCCAAGAAGGAAAGTCCACGAGACTCTTATCTCCAGTTAACTCCCAGAAAACCAGAAGTGGCGCTATGGCTCAAAGCGGCAGAGTGCTATCCTTGAACAAAAAGCTCAGGGAGGCTGTGAATGTGGTTTAGTGATAAGAGTGCTGCCTAGCACGCATGAAGCCCTGGGTTCGATTCCTCACTATTATATATACACCAAAAAAACAGCAGTAGAGCTGTGGCTCACAGTGGTTGAGTGCTAGCTAGGGTCTACACAGTGCCCAGACCCTGACTTCAAGCCCCAGGACTGGCCAACAACAACAACAAAAACCCTCAGGGACAGTGCTCAGGCCCTGATTCCAAGTCCCATGACCAACAATTTAAAAACAAGTTTCTTTACCATGAAAATAAGTGATATAAAAGCACCTCAGGGGACTGGGAAGGTGGCTCAGTGGTAGAGCGCTTGCCTTGCATGCCTGAGGCCCTGGGTTCGATTCTTCAGCACCACATAAGCAAAATGAAAAAAGCTGGAAGTGGCGCTGTGGCTCAAGTGGTAGAGTGCTAGCCTTGAGCTGAAGAGCTGAGGGACAGTGCCCAGGCCCAGAGTTCAGGCCCCACGACCAGACCCAAAAAACAACAACAAAAAAAAAAAAGCACCTCAGATAAAATACACAATAATCTAATTTAACAACAGATACTACCCGACACATTAACAATGCCAGAGACCCCACATCATGACTAAAGTAAGGCTCCCGACACATTAACAATGCCAGAGCCCCACATCATGACTAAAGTAAGGCTGGTACACATCTGTACTGGGTTTGTGCCCCATCCCATCCTCACATCCAGTGGAAACACCACCTGAGTTCCTAACACATATGAAATCCCCTACATACTTTCACCCCCAAAGCAGTACCCTCTTCTCTGTAAATCAATTTGCATTTTGCTTTGATTATATAAAAGATCTCAGAATTTTCATTCCCTGAAGATACCATCAGTAGCATCCATGGTTTGGGGGGCACTTGTGTAACGCCCAAGAGGGAGAGCAACTGTGGCCAACCGCCATGGGACATGGCCTCCAGCATGCCACTACGGCTTCTAGTCATTCCAGCATTTTCTGAGACTGTTCATACCTCCACCTTGTAATCTTCAATTGCTTCATTTTGATTCCTTACCTCAACCATGTCTACCCATTCTCGTACATTAAGGAAGCTTTTCTCACATGTAACATCGTACAGAAGCAAAACACCATCTGCTTTTCGGAAGTAGGACTTGGCAATACTTCTGAATCTGGGGAAAAAAGAAAAGCACATCACCACTCAGTCAGCGAGGCGCTGCCTCCCCTCATCGTTACGCTCACTTCTTTCTCTCATCTTCCAAGGCCAGCCAAGTGAGAAAAGCCCGTGGTGACACACTGCTATGAGTCAGCCCTCACCAAGCTCTGAGAGACACCGCGAAAGGGGAAAACATGAGGTCCTGGGTGACTGACTTAGCAAAGCCAAGCATTTTTTCCTACCAAACAATCCTAAGGATGTGTAGCGAAAGCATAACTAAACTTCAACATCAGCAACAAGCTACCAGGACCTCCATCAGGGTCACAGAGGAAGCTGGAAAGGCATGTGTGCAAGCAATGTTACATTGAGTCTGGTGGGCAGGGAGGGTGGGATAGATGGAAAGACTAAGAGTATGGAACGTCACGGTGTATGTGCCAGACACTGCATCGTGAACATAGAAGATCCACGACAAGACCGCATACATCAAATAATGTGCCTGTCTGAGCTCCAAACCGACCATGGTAGGTTTTACTAGGGCCATGTCAACCATCTGACCCACTGAAATGTTGAAACTCCGTCTGTCAGTGAATACAAGTTTCATGAGGAATTGCTATCTTCTTGTCCTCAGCCACTGAATAGTGCCTGGTACAAAGGCAGGCACCTCAGATTTACTTACTGAACAACTGAGCAGACTCTGTCCCCAAAGAGACAGACAAAATTAAAACCTGTGCCTTGTTTCTAGTCACAGAAATGAATGAGAAATAAGGTATCGTCACCAGATGCTATTCAGTTTACATCTCTGCCTTTAGACCAGGGGTCTGACAGATGCTCTGCTCCCTCATTTACTGTTTTGTAGCTAAAGGAGTTCCTTCCATTGTTGCTGCATTCAGAAGTGTCAACTCACCGAAGTGCTCCTGTTAGGAAAATGCAGTCCTTTTGGTCCAACCAAACATCACTCAAATGAAGCCTAGAAACCCTCTTCTCCCACAACTGAGTGGATGTGAAAAGGTGAGCACTACAGAAATAGTTATATACCTCAGAATTCTAAAAGTAATTGGAATGATATAGTATGTATATAATCATATATAATTATGAGTAGAAATTATATCAAATGCCCTACGAAGGCTTATCTGCAAACCTGAACTCAGGCCAAAGCATAACAAGAGCACTTGCCTCTCCTGTCCAGCTGTATCCCAGAGCTGCAAGACTGTCTGCTCTCCATCGACGATGAGAGTTTTCATCTGGAAATCCACTCCTGAAAGAGAGTATGAGATGGAGAACATGATGTAAATAATTCCATTAGTTTGTGACTTTCAAGCCCTCTTTAGACCAGCGGAAAAGCAGTAAGCCAAAACTCAATGAGGTAGAAGGGAATATGACCTTCAAGGAGAACCACCTTTGAAGAATAAATGCATACAGATGCACTGCCTGCAGGCTGGCTGGTTTTAGAAGAGAGAACACCTACTTTCTGTTTACCAGTTGATTAGCTGAATTCAGTCATCTGTGTGTATATACGCCATGTAATTGCACATGCAAGAAATGCATGTGCATATGTATGTGCATGCATGTGCGTATGAGTGTTGTAAGTGCATTGTGTGTGCAGGTATAGCCATATGTGTGTATTAAGTGTACATGTGTGTATGCACATGGGTGTGTTATAATCATGGATGCAAGAATATGTGTTTGTATAAACAAGTACATGCATATGTATATGATACAATATATACATACATGTATATTTGTGTGTATATGCAAGTTATGTCCTATAAATGTTACGGTCTCTAGAAACAAACCTAAATACTGAAGGCTTTTTATAAATCAAAAAGTGAACTTTCAAGCTGGGCATTGTTGGCTCATGCCTGTAATCCTAGCTACACACGAGGCTGAAATTTGAAGATTGAGGTTCAAAGCCAGCCCTGGTAGGAAAGGCTTCTTACCTCCAATTAACCACCAAAAGCAAAAGCCACAAATGAAACTGTGGCTCAAGAGGTAGAGTGCCAGAAATGAGCACAAAAGCTTGAGGACAGCCCCTATGCCCTGCATTCAAGCCCCTAGGGCCAGCATACACATACATGCACTCACGAGTGCGCGCGTGCATGCGCGCGTGCGCGCGCACACACACAGCAAATTTCCTACTTTGTGATTTTGAAAGGTCTATCAGAGAATCATAGATTTACAAGGAAGCCCATTGTTAAGAGGGCAATCAATCTGTTCTAACAGTTCTAGCTATCAAACATCTCTTTAGGCAATCAATTTGTTCTAACAGTTCTAGCTATCAAACATCTCATTAGATAAAGAAAAAAATTAAGAATTTGCACACGATCAACTCTTACTAATTATTATAAAAGTATCTTGGGAAGCTCAAGATACTACTGATTCCTTTGTTGCGGGATGGGGAGGGGACTTCTACCTGGCTATAATTTTGACAAACTTTCTATTGGTTCACCTCATCAAATGATACCTATAGGAAAAGCTTTCCGCCTTCCCTGTGCAAATCTGCACTCTGTTGCAAACCCCATTTTTTAAAATGAGTTAAAAATGAGTTATTGAACAAGTGCTGAAAATGAATGCATCTGAAAAGCGAAAAAACAATATCTTATTTCTGAAGATGGATGACAGTTGGGAGGCAGCACTGGCAAACGTTAGGGTGAGTAGTTTAATATTGAGAACTATTGAGACACAGCAAAATGTTTGGAAATACAAAATTCACTCACAGATTTTAAAACTTGCTTTTTTTCCATTTCTCTCCATGGAATGTAAGTTTCTGAAATGCTGGGATCTGGTTGGCTTTCTTCACTGCATACCCTTACCACTTACTATTGCATCTAATTTTTATTAGAATTCAAGAACTATATATTGAATAAAATAATCTGGTATCTCAGGCTCTAAGATTTGGTTGACAGATCAGTTAAGAAGATTCTTGCCAGATTTCCTTTGCTAAGATTAGAATTTAGCCAAAACAAAGGCCCATCCACAAACACACGCACACATATACATCTATATCCATGAATGGAGAGAGACAGAGAGACACAGACAAAGAGACAGAGGTAGAGAGACAGGGGGTTATCTATCCCACCTCTAAAGAAAAGTTATTTAGCCAAAGAAAAGAATCTCCCCATTGTCGGCCGAAGTAGGAGCTGTACCCAGGGTGGCACTTGTGTGTCCTCGAAATTCATTCTTGCAGAGTCTCATGAGGAAGCTTGACTTCCCGACCGCAGCATCCCCAGCCAGCACGATTTTGTAAGCTTTCTGAGAGCTGAGTGGTTTAGAGTTGTCATCCACCATGTCTGTCTATGGGGACAAAAAACATACTGGGTGAAATGGTGTTTCCAGTTTTCCTCCTAACAAGTAATTGATGCAGAAGATGAGGGCCTCAGAAGCCACCTACTTGAGGTGAAAGGGCCAGGACGGGCTTTCTGGAGGAGCTACCAGTGTTCCCTTCACACACAGCCCCCTGCGGCTTCAAGTCTAAGACAGAGGCCATGTCCTCCGAATCGTATGCTTCCTCATCTCTTATATCAGGAACCTGTTAGAAACAAAGCCTCTCGTTAACGTGGACCTCATAAATCAAAGAAAAGGTACCTTCAGCTGACTCTGCAGCCAGTGCGGTTCTGGAATGGTAAATCTACGAGGCTGTCTCCCTACTTCGGTGGAGGAAAAAGCACATTCTATTGATAAGGCTTTGTATTTATGGACTTAGCACACTCTCATTTCAGATACATGACCGGTATGGTGAAAGATTTGAGTCAAAGCAAGGCCTTCAATGACCATGGAGTCTGGGCTTACATCTGTGTCCGAAGCGTCACCCCTGAAGCTCTCCTGTAGCCCATGGGAACTCTGAAACCCCCTCTGGTGCTTGTATTCCGCTTCGGAGTCGTACTCATTGGAATCTCGTAGGGTAGACAAGCCACTGTCGAAGCAGCTCTCCGGCAGACTGTCTACTTCGTAATTCATCCTCTGCATGGGATCGCAGAGAGCCAGGGAGTCACAGTCCTCATCCGCATAGGAAGAGCGGGACGACCTGGGGAGGAAGCGGGAGACCGGCTTGACCTGAGGCTCCACGTTGCAACATTCAAGGACACACGGGCGACAGACTGACTGAGGGGGATGTGGCCAGAAAATTCCACATCCTCACCTGCACAGCCACAGTGCCTTTCATGATTAAGACTCAAGGGAATCCAACCAAAGTTCAAAGCAGCAAAACTTCATTCTGTGCAATAAGTAGTTATGACAAAAACTCACATAAACCCAGATACCAGTGGCTCATGTCTAATCCTAGCTTCTCGGAGGCTGAGGTCTGAGATATGGCTTGAAGCCAGCAGGGCAGGAAAGCCCATGAGATTCTTATCTCCAATTAACAATCAAAAAGCTATTAAGTAGAGCTGTGGCTCCAACGGTAGAAAATCTACCTTGAGTAAAAGAGCTAACACAGTGTCCAGGCCCTGAGTTCAAGCCTTAGTACTAGCATACCATACGTGTGTGTCCACACATGCACACCTAAAACACTTTTTAAAAAATGGCTATTTTTTTAAATTATCTTATTGTCCAACACAAAAGAATTAGAGTAAATGGGGCTGGGAAGGTGGCTCAGTGGTAGAGCACTTGCCTTGCATGCACGAGGCCCTGGGTTTGATTCCTCAGCACCACATAAGCAGAAAGAAAAAAAACCGGAAAGTGGTGTTGTGGCTCAAGTGGTAGAGCGCTAGCCTTGAACTGAAGAGCTGAGGGACAGTGCCCAGGCCCAGAGTTCAGGCCCCACAACCGGACCCAAAAAAAAAAAAAAAAAAAAAAGAATTAGAGTAAATGAAGATATAAATGCAAGATGTAAATGCAATTTCTCAAAACTATGTCAATAAAAATGCACGCAAAGCATGAAAGGCTTTCTATTTTAATAGGGTCAGACCATATTCTAAATTGCATGTGTGTGTCTAAAGAGAATGTCTTCTTCAAAGAAAGGCTGGCAACCCAAATGGAAAAGACAGCCACAGTGATGAGAGGAATTCTCTGGCATACATGTTTATGTCTTTTTGTGCTGGTTGGACTGGTACTCAGGTTGGTATTTATACTAAGGTTTGGACTGGTACTCAGTTTGGTATTTATACTAAGGTTTGGACTGGTACTCAGGTTGGTATTTATACTAAGGTTTGGACTGGTACTCAGGTTGGTATTTATACTAAGGTTTGGACTGATACTCAGGTTGGTATTTATACTAAGGTTTGGACTGGTACTCAGGTTGGTTTTTATACTAAGGTTTGAACTCAAGGTCTTGCCCTTGTAAGGCAGGCGCTCTACTGCTTAAGCAACACCCCCAGTTCTTTTGTGCGGTTAAGTCCTCCAATTCTCACAGGCCTCAACCCTCATTCTCATGACCCTGTATAACTACTATGCCATTGCACCTTGATTATGGTTTGAAATGGGATCACCCTATTTTTTTGCCACAACTATTCTCCTACCTCAGTCTTCCCCATCTTTGCCTATCCCAAGTAGCTGGGATAATAGGTGTGAGCCACTACATCCAGCCCTCCACATGAACTCTTAGTGACCTTTCTCTTCAAACCTTAAAGAACTGACAGGTGAAAAAAGAATATACATTTCAGATTATGCAAGATAAACGAAAGGGCAGGTGGTAAACTTTCCTGGGAGTCAGATCAACAGAGTGAAAACAATAGTCAGTAAGAAACACGTGTTCTGGGGACAGCCTGAGGTAAGATGATTTTGACATGTAGTTTGGATATACCCCTACTTCCAGAAGATACGTTATAGGGGGTGACTTACACCAAATACCACTACTGGCTTCTATGAGTCCTTCCATTTTGAAACATTAAGACTTTACAAAGGGAAAGAAAAACATAACAATAAATAGGAGAATCCAAGGAAAGGATATATTTCCATATTAACTTATGAGTTTCTAGATTCTTAAGACTCTAAGTTTCTATTGAAATAAAAACAAGATTATTACACTCATTCTGCATCTACATTGTCCCTGGCTCTTTGTGCACATGACATTTCAGAGTGTGGGCCCTTCCACAGACTTTACAGATGACAGATGGATACAGAGGAGAAAGCTAAGTACCTGCCACATAAATATGGGAAGACAAAGATAACTTTGACTCATCAATAAATGAAACCATTAACCAAATGGTGATTTAACTACAGTTCTCTCCCTTTCTCCCTCTCCCTCTCCCTCTCTCTCTCTGTCAGTTGTTAACCTATAAAGTTATGACATATACATCAGTAAATGTAATTAGCTAGGTGGTTTGTGTTGTTGCATGATTTGTTCTAGTTTTCTAAATCAAGTTTAGGGCAATCTGTAAGAAATGAGAAAAATGTTCTCATTATATTATAGTACAAAGGACTTCAGTTACACAACTTTCATAGTACCCAGAACTATTTGAACCTTTTTTTCTTCTAAATCTATTAGTGGTTTTGAAAAACGTAGATTCTAAATTGAGAGATTAACTCCATGAATATCTAGACTCTAAAAATATCAAGGAGACATTGATCCAGATGCATTGTTCTCATAAAGTGACATGCTAAATTAAAACCGTGTTGTACTACTACTTGAAGATAATATTAAAAAAACAAAAGAAAAGCAAAAAAGGCCCATTTAATACATGTACATTTTTTTGGCCAGTCATGGGCCTTGAACTCAGGGCCTGGGCTCTGTCCCTGAGCTCTATTTTGCTCAAGGCTAGTGCTCTACCACGTTGAACCACAGAGCCATTTCTGGTTTTCAGGCGGTTAATTAGAGGTAAGTATCTCATGGGGATTTTCCTGCCTAGGCTGGCTTCAAATTGTGATACTCAGATCTCAAGCTCCGAGAAGTTAGGATTACAAGCACGAGCCAACCAGCACCCAGTTTACATATACTTCTAAAGTTAAACTGCTTCCATCTTCCCTGATACTGTTATTACAATTAACTGTGAAAATTACAAAACAAGTTGTATTTTTGATTAGGGTTCTTACAAGAAAATACAAAACTGACAACCCAAATGGAAAAGGCAAGCTAAAATTTGCAGGTTAAAATTAAATAAAACTACACAAAAAATGAAATGAAATGAACAACATACCCTATTGAGTTTTTATAATAGCAACCCAAACAAAATACACCATTAAATTTGTGCATCAACTTAATCATTCCCCAGGATGTGGCATTAGCACAGACATGGTGGCCTTGGTTCCAGTCTGAAATGACGGATGCCTGAGAGCTGTGCTCGGTCACCTGAGGCACGGTGAAGCGGAGCACCGTCCCTTACAACACAAGGGAAGGAGCTCTCAGCCCCGTGTCTGTGAGCCTTACTCGTGGGGCCTACTCTTTCAGTAATAAGTCACGATGAAATTTCTGAAATAATTTTGTTTAGAATGGATCTTAAATATTAGTCCAGAAAACTAACAGCACACCTACACCTTTTTAAAAGTTATTATTTCTCAGTAGCAGAGTGGTCCCAATTCTTTTCTTTAACAAGTCAGTGAACAATAATCTAGATAGTATTTTCCCAGAAATGCTCACTAATAAGCTTTGGTGACAGATTATCCTGAAAGGCAATATAACCATCTTCTATCACAGGGATATTAAGTGCATTATTCTTTGAGTTGAAATTATCCAAGTTACTAGCCATACTTCAGTTTGTTTTTCTAGTTTCATTTTCGTTCCCAGGTACACATCATACTATGCTTACCCACTGAACAGTGGTAGATGATGAAAATTCTATCGGTATCACACACCACATACACTATATCATCACGTACTGTAATTCCAAAGCATCTCTTATACAGGGCTGGGGTAATGGCACACTTGTATAAGACCAACCAGAGCATCTTAAAGACGTAACTTTGCATTTAATGAAACATTTTGACCACAGTTACCATCTGGTCACAGTATCAAACTTTAGTGTAGATCATAGGAATGTAAGCCAGAGTCTGAAACAGACTCCTTTGTTTAAATCCAGCTCCAAGGAAATTTCTTATCCTTTTAACTTTGTTCTAAAACTCAAATAATAAAAGAAGAAAAAAAAAGCATACCTGTCATAACCCACAGGTTGAGGAGAATGGCCACTAAATTTGGGACTGCTTCTAGAAATTGTATTCCCTGGAGATATATTATTTAGGCGCTGTAATACATAAGCAAATGTTGAGTAGTCTGTATAAACATTTATACATACATGCATAGGTGAAAATGTGCATATACACAAGTTAGCTTCTAATTTAATGTCTAGGATTCTAGATGAACCAAGGATGAGCCTGAAACTCAAGTGGAAAATTCCATCAAAGATAACTTACCACAGTTCCCTCTCTTTCCAGTCAGATCTAGAGTTCAAACTCTACTTACATCCCACCAAGAAGCATCCTGACTCCCAAGATATGTCAGGACCATGTAGCACTAATTGCCTTGAACTCTTCTGGCTCTTACATACCCTAACATTACGCTGCAATTTGACAGTTGAAGCTGAACCCCCAAACTGGGCTAAGAGAGAGGCTTCATGGCAAGTTCATTCTAGGGAAGGTCCTAAAACTTCAAATGGGTTCCAGGATCCAGTGGCTCATGCTTGTAATTCTAGATGCTCAGGAAGGTGAGATCTACAGGAGCACAGTTTAAAGCCAACCCAGGCAGAGAAGCCTATGAAACTCCATTTCCAAAATAAGCAAAAAATAGCAATGCTGGAGGTGTGGTTCAAATAGCAGAACTTCAGCCAAGCAAAAACAGCAGGCAAACACGAGTCCCTAAGTTCACATCTCAGTCCTAGAGGGAGAAATTCCAAAGGGGTTTCATTGGTTTGTGTATGAGGGTTTAAAGCCTAAGGCCTTCATTCTGACAAGCTCAATGCTGTAACGAACACTCCAGAACTCCCAGCTAGATGCAGCTCTCCCTCCTGACTGACAAACTTTCATTTTTACCCCCATAAGATTTTCTCTGCTGGTTCTTATTTCTGTGCCTCTGTATAGATCCAAATATCCCGTTACATTAGCTAACAGAAGATTTTCTGTAATCTCTCCAATTACCTAGAACATCTCATGTAAGCGTTGGTTAAAATCAAGGTGCTTCAAATGAGTAATATTTTTAATTTGGAGACGTTTTTTCTTCCTCTGGTTTTTGTTTTTGTTGTTTTTTGCTTTTTGGTGCCAGTTCTGGGCTTGGCATGTGGGCCTCATGTCCTTGCTCAGCCTTTCCATTTAAAGCTGGTGGTCTATCACATGAGCTATACCTTCAAATCTGGCTTCTGTTAGTTGGAGAGAATTAAGAGGACTCATGGAGTTTATTTGTTTGTTTGGTTTTTTTATTTTTTTGCCTAGGCTGGCTTCAACTAATAATCCTCAGATCTCAGCCTCCAGAGTAGCTAAGATTACAGGCATGAGCCACACATGTCTGGCTTGGAAAGAGTTCTCATGATTATAAAGAGCCACATGAAGTACTCCAATGTACACAATTAGACAGAAGAACTGGTATTACAGGCGGACGTCCCGTACCACGGCTCTGCTGGCCTTGCTGTAAGTGCTCTCCAGGGCGCTCCTGAGACCATCGTTGCTGTCACGCAGCTTACGGTTAGCTGTTCTGCACAGTGAAAAGACGGAAAAATACTCAGTGTTACTGGGGACCAATGTCATCCCAGTGGCGCTGACACATACAATGTAGAATCACGTATCTTTGCAATGTCTGATTTCCCTTCCAACCTCAAAACCTGAGATCCTAACACATTATTTGAAATACAGCTGTATTAGGGGTGAGTCTGCAAAGCAAGGAGAGCAGAGCTCCCGCCTCACCCTTGCATGCTTCCAGTCACTTCAAGGAAGAGCTCAAGTGCCCTTCCTCCAAGAACATTTCCTGGGCCTTTTCGACAAACCTTCGACAAACCTGTCTCATTTGGCATGTTGTTTTTTAATTTTTTTGTGTGTTGTGGGGCTTGGGTGCTGTCCCTGAGCCTCTTTGTGCTCAAGGCTAGTGCTCTACCACTTGAGCCACAGCTCCACTTCTGGTTTTTGAGTGGTTTATTGGAGATAAGGGTCTTATGGGGACTTTTCTGCCCCAGATGGCTTCAAACATGATCCTCAGATCTCAGCTTCCTGAGTAGCTAGGATACCAGGTGTGAGCCACCAGCATCCAGCTTGGCATTTTGCACTTATTTCTCTAACTACTAATCAGCTTCCATCTTCCTCCTCCAGAATAACTCCAGAAGAACAGAGATTTTTTTTCCTCCCACTCACTATTCTATCTCTAACTGTGGGTGTATCAGTCCCATTAAAAAGTACTAATTGAGCTGGGCACTGGTGACTTACACCCTAATTCTAGCTACTCAGGAGGCTGAGATCTAAGGACCATGTTCAAAGCCAGCCCTGGCCAAAAAAAAAAGTGTGTGAGATTCTTATCTCCAGTTAACCAGGAAAACACCACAAGTGGGGCTGTGGCTCAAGTGGTAAAGCACTAGCCTTCAGTACAAAGGCTAAGAGAAACCACCCAAGCCCTGAATAAGCCCCAGTACCCGCACATTAGCACGTGTGCTTACATGCATGCACATACACACATACACACACAGAGAGGACATTAAAAATCTAAGAAAAAGTTATCTCTGAACAAGCTCTAAGCAGTCAGGGCTTTCATCATTTAAAGACACCCTGGACATCCCATCTGACTTGAAAGTGCTTTTAAGACCCCTTCTCTGTTGTGAGCACTGCCATAATTAGTTTAGGGTTAGCCACCCAGGGAAGCTAAGTGTGTGTGCAGAATGCACCACAGTGTGAGAGTACCACAATGACCTGCAAACCTGGACTGTGGAATATGTCCACTCGTGTTACAGGTAGCATGTGAAACAAAGGAGAATTTTATATGAGAACTTACTGGAGTATTTCAATTTGTCTCTCAAGACTATTTCGATCTTCTGTGTATTCTCGGATTATTTCCAGATCCCTGTAAAATTGTATTTTATGTTTAAGTGAGAATCGCCAAGTTCTGCCTTACCGATCCTTACCCTTTGAAGCCCCTTTGAGGTGTGTGTCTTTAAGGTTTTCTCCCTTGCTAGTGCTCCAACTCACATCTCCATACCTTGTGCTTCCTTGGGAGAAGCTGGCCCCGCCTCTCACCACCCCCCACTTACCAGGGCTCAGCACACATCAGCTCTTCCCACCCCACCAGGGGCCTGGCTCCAATCCCCTGAATCCTCCCAGACAGTCAAGTCAGTAGTACCTTCAGCCCCTTGAACCTTCTCTGCTCCCACCAAGCTTTAGAAATCTCAGCTCCCCCTATTTCCTCTTCTTTTGAGACTCCGTCCATTCCTTGCTCCATCTCTACTCCTGACATCTTTCTTCTTCTTAGGTTAAGCCACAGAATCAACAGGCTTTCTGGGCTCCTGAGACTCTCCCACACCTGACCCCTCAGGTCCCCCTCAGACTGAGCATTCAGAGCATGTCCTCACCTGGGGGTGAGGTGGGGAACACAAAGAGCTCTCTTGCTGTGTCGGTAAACAAACCTATTGGCTGACATTCAAGAACTCTTACTCTATCAAGTTTGTCCACAACAACCTGTCCATTGGGTGTACCCCGGATGATAAAAGTTAAAAGTTTCCTAATTGCTGGGCACCAGTGGTTCATGCCTGTAAACCCAGCTACTCAGGAGGCTGAGACCTGAGGATCACAGTTTGAAGCCAACCTGGAAAGAAAAGTCTGGAAAGAAAAGTCTGAGACTCTTACCTCCAATAAACTACTCAGAAAAGGCTGGAAGTGGAGCTGTGGCTCAAGCGGTAGAGTGCTAGCCTGAGCAAAAGAAGTTCAGAGACAGCACCCAGCACCAGAACAAATAAACAAAAAAAAGTTTCCTAATAGTCTAATTCCTAATTGTCAAAATACCTAGTCCCTTAAACTAGCTTAAACTAGCTTTTAAAACTTTTATGATCTTCTTTAACTCTTTTTGTTTTTTTCCTATTCAAAACATCTCCTGCTGGGCGCCCGTGGCTCAAGCCTATAATCCTAGCCATTCAGGAGGCTGAGATCTGAGGATCATGGTTCAAAGCCAGTCGGGGCAGGAAAGTCCATGAGACTCTTATCTCCAATAAACCACCACAAACAGGAAGTGGTGCTGTGGCCCAAATGGTAGAGTGCTAGCCTTGAGCTGAAGAGCTGAAGAAGAGCACCCAGGCCCAGAGTTCAAGCCCCACGATCAACCAAAAAAAAAAAAAATCTCCTTTTGTCCAGTGGTCTGACCATCTTTCTTCAGACCAGTCTCATCCTTCCCTATGCTCTTGCCTGTCCTTTCGTTATTCACTCATCCAGGACATCTCTGAGGCTCTTTTCCAGCTGTAAATGGAGATGATGAAGGTCCCTAGCTGAGAGTGTTCTGTGGACTGAAGGAGTTAGTGCAGTACCCAGGAGTCTGCCTGTCAGACGACAGTCCTACCGTTTTCAGATGCTGCTGCTGCTGCTGCTGCTGCTGCTGCTTACAGCTGCCTCTTCCCCCTCCCCCAAGGTTTACCTCACATCCCTTAACAAAGTCGAAAAGAGAAACGTCTGTGAGCTCAGGGCCATGGATCAGACCGTGCTGCTGCTGCTGGTAGTGTTTCTGACATGATTCAGCTCTTACACTGTTTAACTTGTTATCTTTTCACTTCTGTATTCCTGACTAAATCTGGAGCTCCCATCCTTTCCTTCTGTTTTGCATACTCCAAACTCATAACCCTTATCTAGTTCAGAGATCTATATACAGTATATTTAATACATGTCTCACTATTTATTATAAGAATGTAATTCTGATTAAAATTTACAAAGAACGTTTTCTCCAACTGCACTAGTACAAGGACTGTATTTATTAAACCTATATAAGTACCCATGCATATATCATATCTGTTAACGTATAAATGCATGTTTGTGTATTAAACTCTATACTGTTACTAATATATAGCAAAACTCACAAGAGAGTCCCATCATATTTTAGGCAAGGACTGCTACCTAGGCATTTGTTCTTGACCTATCCAGCTAGCTCCAACTTAATCCAACTTTCAAAGCCTTCCATTGTCTTAAGTAGGATAACAATTAAAACATTTAATTTGCCTTTTAACAATACCACAGAGACCCACAAACCAGGAAATCTGTCATTGGTACAATCCTCGCCAGTAAGGAACATATTAGCAACAGTACCGAGTAACCTTTTCTTACTGCCTCACCAACCTTCATTTGTAGCTAATTCCTAAATACTGCACCGAAACTAAAATAATAAAACATAAAATCTCATACCTCTCAGAATTCAGACTCTGGTCGGCATAATCACTTTTCAAAGCATCTAGTTCACTCTGAAGAAAGGCTATGTTTGTCTGTGCTTCCAAAAGTTCTTTCTTAACTTTCTGATTTTCCTAGCGGATAGGAACACCACAGGCATTAAATTCAGTTTCTTCCTCATGGTAAAAAATGTAGCAAGGTGTACGCGGCCCACCCACAGGACACTCCATGCTTCTCCAGTTCTACAATCTTGACATTTAAAGAACTAATTGTCTATTCAATAATAAATCGTTAACATATCAAAATCTAAATCCTCAAAGCTGTTCTTTGTTTTAAATACTGGATATCTGTTACCCAACTACAGTATCATGTACTTTAAGATATTACTGGCAAATTAGCTGAAACCAAATGTTTGAACACTTGACTTACTTAATGAGGACCACAAAGGTACTGATAAATATTGTATAAAATTAACTGTATCGGTAATGACTACAATGACGAGTTTCATATCTCCTAACTTTAAACTAATGTCATTAGGAAATGTCTATATTTTTTCTTCAAAAACAACTGGAAGTTTCTAGTTCACAAAGTTGTCGTTCTTCCCTTCTGAAATCTCCTTAATCTGAAACACGCCAACAAGGATGGAGGGCTGGAGAGGCTCCCCTAGCTGTCCAGTACTAAACCTGCTTCTGAAGGATGGAAACCCAAGGGAGGGGAGGCAGGGAAAGGCAGCTGTTCTGGTTTACACATGACTTCAGTGCGTTCCACGCCAGCTGGGGCACCGGACACCCTGACCCCAGCGAGGAGCTGTAGAGGTGATCTGGAACTTTTAAGAGGTGGAGCCCAGTGAGAGCGCCTTAGGTTGACTGGGCACTGAAAATATTTAAGTGTCATAATGGAGAAAACATTCTCCAATTTTAGAGTCAATCTGAAATCTACCTAAAGAAAATTTAGTAATGAAAAAGGCAGAAAACACATCACCAATTTCTACAGCAAATAACTAAATGAAGATATGGTAAGTAAAACAGAAGTGGTAAACAGGGGAGAGGGGGAATGGAAGTGGAACAGGGCAATGATGCCATTATGTTCCAAAGCAGGGGACAGACCAGCGTAGGTGTTATACAAACAGCGTAGCAATGCTGGGTAGGGTTTAAACACCAAGTCGTTATTGCCTTAAAAGGAAATCACGCCATTCTTCTTGTGGAGGGGAAAAGCTTCACATATAATATCTTTGCTTACAAATATTTTGAGGAATTTCTCTAATGCAGAATCATTTTTTCTTTAAGCTCTATTCCTGGAACACTGAAATAAAGCATAGCTGTGTGTATGTTGTCTAGATGGAAATTTATTCCTTTAAGTCAGAAGGTGATTCTTACCATTGATAAATCATAAATTTGTTTTTTTAATGCTGCCACATCTTCCTTTTGACTTATATGTTTGGATTGCTCTTCAAGCTGAAAAAGTAAACAAGTTATTTACTAACCCATTTTGAAATGCTTTGGACAAGTTCTAGAATGTAGTTGAGTGCAGACATGGAAATTCTAGAGGTTAATGATTTTCAACTTTCTAAGATACTAAATAACATAAAATCCACATAAGAATGTATTTGTTTCAAGCATTTGCAAATGAGGTTTTACTGGACATGGAAAAAATGGAAAAAAGACTTTGGGAAACTATCCAACTATAAAGCAACCAGCTGGGAGAGCTGAGGGGGTGGTGAAAGGGAGCACTGGTAAGACACATTGCACTCATAAACTGACATGGGGAACTAAAAAGCTTTCGTGCAACTGCTTAAAGATAATAAAAAATAGAAGCACCCCAGTTTTGCTACATGTGAGATGAACATTCATTCTTACTTCTGTGCACTTAACACTTTTTATCTTTATTATTTTGGAAAGTCTTACTCCCTTACTACAGTGTAAGATTTTCTTAAGAGCAGAGTAGAGTAAGACTCAACTATATTTCTTCATGGTGAGTTCACTTATGAAATGATTGCAATCAACAACATATAAGCATCCCAGAAGCAAGAAATACACACACACACACACACACACATACACAAGAGCCTGTATGATCTCTGCTTGCAAGTTGACTCAATAGCATTAATGGACAAAACTAGTTCAGCAGCATATACAGTATAAAGAACAAAAACGAACGACAACCCTACCAAAGCTCACATTCCAGAACTGTGGAGATGGGTGGGCGTCAATCTGTCCAGTGTTAGTACATTGATAAAAATGAACCCCACATACCATCAAGTCTGATAACTATGGCGTTTCTTCATCTTTCTAGATGGTACTGTGGCTGAGAAAACTAATTTATTTTAAGATTCATTCTGACTTCAGAGAAGAAAAATTGTAGGCAAAATATGAGTTTCCTAGAATCAAAGTGAGGTTAGTAGCAACCAGAATGGATCTGTAAACTGTCCTACAATTTTATTCAATCTTCAATATCCTGTCATGTGATTATTTTGCTGTTTCACATAAGCGCATCAGCCAGGTAGGAAGTTTGGTATAAATGGAAAGGCACTAACAGCAAATGAAGACACCTCTATCACTTACCAGGAGGTAGGAGGCTTTGAATACGTAATCTACTCCCTCTGGATCACCCTCAAAAAGAAGTTTAGTATTCAACTGTTTTTAGTGATGAAAAGGAAGGCAGACACAGTGGCTTGTTCCTATAATTCCAGATACATGAGAGATGGATCAAAGCTCAAGGCTAGCCTTGGAGGAGAAAGTTTATGTGAACCCATCTCAATAAAATGCTAGGTATGGTGGTGCATGTCTGTGATAGCTACAGAGGATCATGGTCTGAGGAAGGCCTTGGGAAAAAATGAAAAGACCCTATTTGAAAAACGAATTGAAAAAGGCGGGCGAGGGGGGGGTGTAGCAGGGGCTCAACTGGTAGAGCTCTTACCTACCAAGAATAAGGTCCTGAGTTCAAATTCCAGTACCGCCAAAAATAAAAATAAATAAAGATGCTTAACTATCTTCAAAGCCAATAAAATATCAGTTATTAAGATCAGGAAGGCCAGGACCTGGTAATCCTAGCTATTCAGGAAGATGAGATCTGAGGATCACGGTTCAAAGCCAGCCCAGACAGAAAAGACTATGAGACTCTTATCTTCAGTTAACCACCAGAAAACCAGAAAGGGAGCCATGGCTCAAAGAGGTAGAGCATTAGCTTTGAGCAAAAGAAAAAAAAAAAGATTAGACAGGACAGGTCAATCCCATTTCACAGGGGTCAACAACATGAAGGGAATTGTCCCGATAACAGGGAGCAAACAGTTGTCAGTGAGAACTCAGGCCCTGTCATGTGACTCAAACATGCTCGGTCTCACTGTTTGATGTTTTCACATGTTATGAACAAGCATACTTTGTTGCATACATTCTCTTATTGACCTGAAATGCCATAGAAATTAATGAAGAATTTATGATCTGGCATAATGAGAAGACTGCCCATTAATTTTGTAACACAACTATAGTAAGATGGTCTAATGACATTTGAAAAATAGACATAAGGCAACAGAGGAGAATTCTTCATTATCTGAGGTTTAGGCAGATTACAAACTACAGTTAATTGTCACTATTATGTTGCTCTCTGTTTCACATGAACTATATGCATTAGTTATGAAAGTGATGGCAACTTGCCCACTTGAACTCAGGAATGGTGGGAGTCTTTACACCATGAAAACCAGCAAAGGCGACACATCTCGCCCTTGCCCTCGGCTCCTCTTCAGAGACACTGGTCAAATCTGCCAGCAGATCACGGTGTGGAACGGGCCCTACTTGTTAGAACCAAGTCGAGAAAAAGGAAAAGCCCAATCATATGTGGTTCATGTTCCAACCAAGGTTTTTACCTCTTGATGATCAGGTTGGAACTTTGTCCTTAGAAGATCAACATTCAATTCACTTAACAGATGTTCATGGAATACCAGTTCCACACCTTGCACTAAGCTAGAGGTAGGGACACATGGTTCACTGGCAAGGAAGATAATACTTCACTCTCATGGAACAAGTGGTCCACTAAACAAAGGGGACCTTAGGGCATTTACTGAGTGAAGACTAAGGAAAGCAACGTGGGATTTAAAAAGTGATTGTTCGAACCATAAGCAATCATTACTAGAACTGTAAGAAGTGACAGCAATTAATAAAGGAACTCAGAGGCTCTTAAAAGACAAAGTTTTAGCCAGGCACCAGTGGCTCATGCCTGTAATCCTAGCTATTCAGCCTCCTGGCTGAGATCTGAGGATTGCAGTTCAAAGACAGCCTGAGCAGGAAAATCTATGAGATACTTCTCTCCTATTAAACAGCCAACAAAAATCTAGAAGTAGAGTTGTGGCTCAAGTGGTAAAGTCCCAGGCTTTAGTGAAAAAGTCAAGTGAGAGTAAGAGGCCCTGAGTTCAAGTCCCAATGCTGGAGTGTACCTGTGCACGCACACGCACGCACGCACACACGCACGCACGCACACACACACACACACACACACACACACACACACACACACACAGTGGCCAAAGAGTCCATTTGACTCTACAATGCCCACTTCCGCTCTAATACTATTTCAGATGGTTTTGGGCATCCATAGCTTAGGCACACAAGACGCTGAGGTTTATCCTAGAAGTCTGGTCAGCACCCCATACCTTCTTCAGTTTTTTAATGGTCACTTGCAAGTCTCCTACTTCTGTTTCGTACTGACGTCTGAGGTCACTGAGGGCTTCCTCAGCTTTGCGTTTTTCCTAAAAGAAGAAAATGCTGATTTCAATAGGTTCAGTCTATTTAAAATAAACAGCCTTAAAATAAATATCCTTTAAAATCCCATAGGGAGAAACTTTTTTTAATATCAAATGAGCTGACTACGAGTCTCCTACCCAGGGAATGGGAGCAGGAACGGCAAAGGGAGCAAAAGACAGTTTTAGGTGAGCATCAGGTCTGGAACTGAAACCTGTAAGCATGGACGAACTGCAGAATCCCACTAGACACTTGTCTCCTTGGAGTGAAATGAAGACTATTATAGTCTAAGACGGGGCCACCACATGCCAATTAATTAGTGACTTAATTATGTCATAATTAATGAAAAGGTATGGCACAGTTATACGCTCCAGTCAAGAGTAGTGGGTGTACCTGTTTTCCTATTGCCAAACTCTGCCACAGAGGCCGGCAGAGTTATAAGTCGCCTGAAACCAGGCTTGAGCAATGTGTCGCTGGGCGATTCAGTCCTTGTGCCAACACTGCAGTGTTCTTATTCTAAGATGGCCACCACATCACAGCGACAATGGGAGTGCTGAGGACACACGGCCCGCTGCTGGCCATGACACCACTGTGAAGCACATGACACGAGTGTTTCCCACACTCAGTGTGTCCCTTCAACGGCAACAAGACAGACCAGGAGGCTGCAGAGGCTGACATTCATGGACTAAACCATTTCTAAACTTCTTTTTTCTCTTAACAAGAGATATTATGTTGTTTTATGGCCTTTGTTCACTATTGACATAGCTTTATATTTGTAACTAATCAAAGTCGGCGTGCTAATATTCACTAATAACCTACCACATGCTAAGAATAGTTCTAGGCGACAGGACATGCAGATTGAGGAACAATGCACAAGATGACCTTGTGCATTCTAAAGGAAGGTAGAATCAACACGCAGAGACAGATGGACAGGCAGACAGATAAGTTCAGAAAATTACACTAAAGAGAAAGAAACACAGAGAAGTGTAAAACAAACTAGTCTGAGTTGTGGGCAAGGACCCTGCAGAGGTCATGATCCCAGATCCGAATACCCCAGGCATTCAAGTGTCTTTACCCACTTATTGGCTGTCAAGTTAAGGCAACTTGCTAAATTTATATCTCCATTTTCTTATCAGATTATTGTGAGAATTAAGTAATCCAAGTAAATTAAATCACTCGAATCTATATAAATTAAATAACCCATACAAATTAAATAACCCATACAAATTAAGTAATTCGAGGACACTAAATATCCCATAAAAATTAAATGATCCATGTAAATTAAACGATCCATGTGATGTGCCTTCACAGAAGAGCAATGGTAACTTTTTAAAAAGCAGCAATCATAAATTCCTCCAGCCTTCTCACTGAGGCAGAAACCCTGCCTATTTCACAGGTGGATGAAGACACGAGGCCTCCCAATTAGCTGTGAATTCAGGCAGGCCACCTGGCTCAAATCAACCTGCAAGTACTGTAAGTGTCTCCACTGGGCCCACAGCCACAAGCTCTAACACAACAACATATGGTTTTAAATTATCCTACTCAGAGCTCACTAAGGAAAGTTCATTTCATTCCTAATCGGCATCGGGTAGATCCTGCAGGTCAAACAGGAGATTAGCACAGGAGTGCAGGTAAGAAAGGGCGCAGTCCTTTCAGTCAGCTCTTCACATGCTTCCAGAAAACCGAAATGCATGGTACACTTCACAGTTCATCCTGTGAGACCAACACAGCTGACACCAAAATCACATGAAAGCATTAGAAGACAACTGCAACCTAGGAGGGGAAAGTTGAAGAAAACAAAAGAGGAGGTAACACCATGCAAAAAGAAATGTCCTGACTACCTTGCTACATAACTATAACCTCTCTGTACATCATCTTTACAATAAAATTTAATTTAATAAAAGAAAACTACCACCTAACATTTCCTATTAATGTTGGTGAGAATATGATCGATAACATTTAGCAAATGGAATTAAAAAGATAAAATAATAATGTATCATAAACAATTGAAACATTTGAGGTTTAATCTCAAGACTACAAATTTGTTAAATACTCAGGCTGATCAGTGGAATTCCCCACATTAATCCTAAAAAAAATATATGATCATTTCAATAGACACATAAAAACACAACAAAATCCAACATCTACTTCTGATTAAAAAACGCCAAACCTGGCACCAGTAGCTCACGCCTATAATCATGCTATTCAGGAGCCTGAGATCTAAGGATTGCCATTCAAAACCAGCCCAGGCAGGAAAATCTGTGAGACTCTTACCTCCAATTAAACACCAGAAAACAGGAAGTGGTGCTATGGCTCAAAGTGGTAAAGTGCTAGCCTTGAGTGGAAAAAGCTCAGGGATAGCACCCAGGCCCTGAGTTCATGCCCCATAACCAACAAAAACGAAAGCAAGGAGGGAGGGAGGGGGGAGGAAGGAAGAAGGAAGGTAGGAAAGAAGGAAGGAAGGAAACTCTTCAACCTGATTAAAGTCATCTATGAACAACACACCACTAATACTACACTGAAAGTTGAAAGCCTGAATACATACAGGATGGGAAAGCCTGAATACATACAGGATGGTTTGTTATCACTTCTAGACAGTGCAAAAAGGTAAGAAAACAAAGTTGCTATCTAGATTAGAAAGGAAGTAAAACTGCCTTTATTCAAAAATTACATCACAATCAACCTAGAAAATCAAAAGCCATCGAGTCTAAGCAATGTGACAATACTAAAGAAGTCGAGATCAATACACACATGTCCAGTGTATTTCTATGCAGTCATTAAAAACAATGAGAATTTGAAACAAACATTCTAATAGAGGCAAAATGTGACATACTTGGGAATAATCTGAAAATACAAAGTAAGACATGTGCACCGAATACTATAAAATATTGCTGGGAGAAAGCAAAGAGACATCACGACATCATGAATGGGTAAGTGACTCACTTTTATAGATCAAAATATTCAATATTCTCCCACATTGATCTTCAGATGAGAAATATAAACAAATCCTCAGCAGGCATTTGTTTTTTGAATTATAAGATGATTTTATGAAATTAAGGAAACAATCAAACCAACTTTGAATAAAAAGCAAAATGTAAAATGAATACATGACTTCAGGGGCTATTATAAAGCAATAGGCACCAACACAATGAAATACTAACAAATCAATATATACAACAGAATGTAGAATCCAGATAAAAACACCCAAAATCCAGATAGCTTCTTTTGGACAAAAGGAAAAGGCAGTTCAGTGGAAAATGAATATGGTATTAAAACAAAACTAAACAACATCACAAGCAGAAGAGAAAGAAAAAGAATAGTCCATACCTCGCACCATACAGAAAATGGAACTTGAGTGTAAAACTTACCAAAGGAAAAAATTAGAGAAAACTTCTGGGACCTTGTCTTAATGAAAGGTTTTAAAATAAAATACCGTAACATGAACCATAAAAAGGAAAGACAAATTATTTGGACTTCATCAACATTAAAATTTGCTACTCTTCAAAAGATTGTTAGGAGAAGGAAAAGATTTATTTGGACAAAATATTATTTAGATTAGGTGCCTGAAACAAGATTTATATTTAGAATATATAAAGATACCTTCAAACTCAGTAATGAGAGAACAACTTAATTTTTTAAATGAGCAGACATAAGTCCAAAGAAGACACACACATATGCAATGTAACTTTACACATCTATCAGGGAGATGGATTATGTCATTATATCATTATTATGTCATTATATCATTATTATGTCATTAACAGGGAAATGGATGGACCTGGGGAAAAATATGTTTAGTGAAGTAAGTCAAGCTCAGAGATACATGCTTTATCTCTTATGTGGAAGTTAGATTCTAAATCATAAATGTACCTGAAAACATACACAGGGTCATATATACAACATGTTAACTAATGCATGGTACACGAGGGGGAGGATTTTAATGGTGTGACTTCTTTGAACAACTTAACAATATAACAAAATACTAGGAAGTTTAAGCATGTGTTCTGGGAGTGAGGACAGGGGAGGGAGGGCTGATGAATAGAGAAGGGGCAGGGTGGGCGAATATAGCTGTAATATAATATTCAATGTGCATACGTGAAAATGAAACCAGGCCACTTGAAGGGGTTGGCAGGGTTGAGAGAGATATGAGGAAATGATGGAAATGATCAAGAGGCACTGAACTCACAAACTGACATGCTGGAGTAAAACCCCTTTGTCCAGCTATATAAGGACAATTTTAAAAATAAATTACGTAACAGATAGCAAGTCCTAAAAAATGCATACAAATTTTTTTAAAGATGATATACACATGACATAGAAGAACATGAAAGATTCCCAACACAGTGTGACAGAGTCTCTCAAACGCAATCATATTTCCACAGATGGTGGAGCCATCCCACTCTAGGAATTCAATCAAGAGAAATAAAACGTACATATGCCTACATAAATTCTAGTACATGAAGAGTCACTGTACCGTTGGGACATAACTCAGTTGTCCTTCAACACACGAGTGCATGCACCATGGTGGTACATCCACCAGTGAACTATTACTTGGCTATGACATAAATGATTATCAACGCACAAAATAATTATGCCTAGTAGAAGAAGTCAGACAAGACATATTGTAAGATTCCATTAATATATAATTCTAGAAGCTTCAAAATAATGGATAGGACCAAAAAAAAAAAAAAAAAAAAAACCCAGAGCAGTAATTGCCTGGTAAAGAGGGACAAAGGAAGGCAGAGCATGAGACAGGAGACAGACGGCACTATCCGTGACCTGGTTGAGAAGATGACATGTATTATACCTCCATAAAGCTGTTGTTTAAAAAAATAACTAACTGACAAGACGCCATATGTTCCATATGTAATGAGAATGAAACACCATGAATGTTCTGTCCAGTTGGGGTCAAGAAGAGTTGACTGTGGCTAGAGATCTAAGGGAGGGCCTGGAGGCATGAGGGAAAGACGTGGGCACCCATCACCAAGGTAAAGGAACCAGCTGGGGTAAAAGCAGAGCCATGAGCAGCGATGACACTGGACTGGGGGGGGGGGGAGGTAAATGCCCAGATGAGTTTGAGGGGAGCCACCATGACTTCCAGAAGTCAGGGAGAACCTTCAGTAAGCCAGGATGTGTTATCCCCAAGCACCAAGTTTAAAAGGTGAGGTGGGTACTCGGTGCTAGGTGGCTGGCAAATACATTTCCTCCCAGTGCCAAAGCTGCTCAGCTGGCCGTAGGACCCAGACTGGTGTGCTGACTTTCCCTGTACTTTATTTTGGGGGATCTGTTTGTTTGCTCGTAGCGGGGTCTCACTAGTCAGCCCAGGCTGACTTCAAAGTTGAGCTCTCCCTACCTCAGCCTCCTAAAAGCTGGGATTACCAGAAGGTACCACCACACCTGCCTTCCTCAATTCTTTTCGCTTCCCCCAGCCACATTCTCCTGTCAGGCTGCGCCAGCTCCTCCGCTCCCCCGGTCACACATCCTCCCAGTGAGGCCCATGGCTCCCACCTGTCACTGTACATCACACGTGTTTCTTGACTGCAACTGTCATTATCTGAAACTCACCAACTTCATGGAGTCAGTGATTACAACATCCAGTTCCCCTTCCTCATTCCCCAGAAATACCACAGGTCAGAACCCTTTGGTGGGAGCTTTATAGAGCCCAGGCATGGGGTTCCCACAGCCTGGCATGGAGAGAAATACCCAGAGCCCTGTCCTAAAAGCCAATCCACAGGACCTGTGTGCGTGGACAGTCCAGACACTCACATCCTTCCGGGTCTTGTGCTCTGCTGCTTGAATCCTCTGATCCATTTCCTCTTCCAACTCACTCAGCTGCAGGGCTGCCTGGTCTTGGGCTCTGAAATTCAAAAGAGACCACCTGTTACAGGAATACTTGGACACTTAAAGAGAAACTGAAGCGGATCTACTTCCAATGAGGAACAATACACCATTCCGACTACTATGCCCTATTCCTTCCAAATAATGAAGTAGGACTGGCAATTTGACCATGTGGATGTAAAATGATAATAGAAGTAGATATTAAAAATAAAATATTAAATGGTATTAAACCAGAATAGCTCAAAATACCAAGTCACTGGGAGATTCTCAGTAATTAATCCTGGAAGTCCTTTTGCTTTCATGACAGAGGTACAAACCTCAGGCTCGGGGTGAAGCATTTCATGACAAAAAAAAAAGGTTCGACATCATTTCAAAATTTTATTCCATCCACCTCACAACAGTTAGAAGGAAGACAAGAGATTTCTGCACTCATTTCCAACCCTCATGCAATAATAAATCAGATCTTGAGGAGACCGAATGTCTAACTTGACAAAGAAATGGAAAAACTTTGGTGTGAGAGATTTCAGGACTGTTATATTTCACTAGTAATTGTGTAGTATAGAGATACTTGTCACTTTTTCCTAGTTGAGGTTTCAAATTAAAACTTTACATATATGTGTGTATATGTGTGTGTGTGTGTGTGTGTGTGTATATAAATGCTATATAGTAAAACAATACTATATAATACATTATATAGTACATGTAAAATACATGTACAAATATATATAAATCTTATATATATTCTTTTCTTCTCTGAGATACATATCCAATTTGTATATACCTGTCTACTGACTACATTAGAAGCAACTGGAAAGCAGCTACCCTAAGGTATAGTCAATTCACTTAAACCATGACAACATACTGTCAATAATAGAAGACCAAAGATGGAGCTTAAATGTAAGACCTCCATCTTCCAGCTTGTTTCCTGCTATACCACTTTATTGCTCCTATACCACTGCTTTTTTTTAATTTACCCTTTTACAACACAAATTGTTTGTGTATTAATTTAATGTCTGTATGGAACACCAAAGAAATGCTATGCGGTAAACAAAACCTTAAATTTTTTAGTAAAATTACCATTTTCTGTTCCTGTTTCCTTCCAGCTCACCATTTAACCAATCCTTCTAGCTATCCAGTCTCAAACATCTGAGACAGCGCCTGAGTTTTCTCTCTACCTTTTTCATTTCCAAGAATGGGGGGGGGGGGGGGGGGTCAGAGTAGCCCATAATGATGCAGCATTTGCCTAGCAACATGTCTTTTCTCTTAGCATATGTCCTCCATCTTCCATAACTTCTAATCCCTAGAGAATGCCTACTGCACTCAGACTGCCCACCATCACCCAGGTGACTGGGAATCATTCTAAATGGGTACTTATCCAACAGAAAGACTGAGTCTTCCCTCAGTCAGTAGCAGAGGCGAGGGTGGATGGTCCTTAGCTGAGAATGCAGGGGACAGTTTTCAAATAGTGAAAAAAGTGCCTTTAGAAGACTCCAAGCTGAAGATCAAGTCTGCATCTGGATCCACACCTCCCCCCCCCCCCCACGCCCCATGAGAGCGCAGACCAAGGCGGAGAGATCGCTGACCTTCAACAGATTCTGATAGGTCCATTACACCGTGAGAAAGCAGCCTGGCCGACCATGAGAATATAAACAACTGTCTCTAGAAGGGCCATCTGACACACATCTCTGGATGTGTCTGCATATGTACCTGTGACTGTGAGTCTGCCTGCTTAATGGACACTCAGCAGAGAGCCTGCACAATCAGTATGGGTGTGTACCTGTCATACCTCAAAGGAAGCCAACTTCGGGCCTCTGGGCCACACCTCAAAATGCCCTACAGAATTTGGACCTTTGACAACACCCACTAGAAGGCAACTCTGAGGTAGAAAAGCAGAGTCTGAAACAGTGTGAAACTGTTCTTCAATAACTGCCAATGTATAGTTCAACTTATCCTTGACTCTAGTTATTATAAGAAAGCATCACAGTCTTAAATTATTTTCTCTTCTACACTGTAATTCCTTTTAGCTACTCCAGAGGCTCAAGCACATAGTATCAGCACTAAGTGCAGGAAAACAAAAAGGTGACAGGCCTGTAGCCACCACCTGCCCATATCACCTGCCCCCATCCCTGCCTACAGGGAGGCAGGGCAGCAACCTATCAAGGTCTAGGCAGCGGCTGGGGGGTGGGGGCAGCTGCTGGTAGATCACTTGCAGCAGGAAGTACTTGTAGGGCAAAAGCATCCTAGTAAAATGTCCTCCGTTTCCCAGTGTATGCTAAAAGAGTAAGACCTTTCTAGGGAACAAAGATGCTAATGCTTAAACTGTAACACATATAAATTCCTTCTTTCCAGTGGGAGGCTATTAACATCAAGATGCTCTCCTATGTAAGCCACTTATGGCCTAGATGAGTTGTCTGTGTTTAAGCAGTGTGTGGGCTTTCAGATTAGGGTAAGGCCAGGTGACAAGATCAGCAGAGGGGAAGGCAGAACTCTGCCCATGTTAGGCACTGGGTCTCAGCATCCTGAGCATGTGTTTTCTTTTTTCATTCTTTTTTTTCTTTTTGGTGTCAGACTTGGGGCCTGAACTCTTTCACTTAAGGCTAGCACTCTACCACTTGAGCCACAACTCCACTTCTGGTTTTTTAGTGGTTCATTGGCAATTAGAGTCTCAAGGACTGTCTTGCCTGGCCTTGCTTTGAACCACAATTCTCAGACTTCAGATAGGATTAAAGATATGAGCCACCAGTGCCCTGTCTTCTTCTTATTGTTGTTGTTGCTGTTATTATTATGTTTTTAAGTAGTTGCACAGAGGTGTTCCAATTCAACATGGCAGCTGTGACTACAGTGCATCTGGGGAAAGGTCACCTCTTGATCATTCTCCTGTACCTCCCGACTCCACTCATCTCAACTCACCTGGTTCCATTTTCACATATGTACCTCGACTGTTACGGTCTACCCACCTCCTAGGACCTCAGTCCTGCAACATACACACCACAAGTTCCAGCTTCCCGATAAGCATTTTGTCAAACTGTGAGAGAGTTGTTGAAGGGAATTAGACCATTGGAATCCCCCCTGCATATACCGTACTTTAGTATGTTTGTGAATGTATGCATATGACCCTGCTACTTACCTATATATTTATCATTTAGATCTAACTTCCACATGTGAGAAAAAAATGTGTCTTTTATTTCTCTGAGCCTGACTTACTTCACTTAACATTATGTATTTCCATTCTCATTTTGCAGATGCAGAAATGGACTCATGAAAAGTAAACAACCTGCCTGCAGGTTTCACACCCATACACGATTAGGCTACTCATACTTATACATGATTAGGCTACCCACTCCCATACATGATTAGGTGAGGTTCACATGGGGTCTTGCGTGTTCCAAATGGCTAGATATAGGCTCAATCTCCAAATTGCTTTATATGAAACTATTAGTCCTAAAGAGCTGACATAATAGGATTACAATAACAGATTATTGGTTAATCCTAGAAATTACTTCCTGAGGCAACTTACCCTTTGCTGGCTCAGCTTAGAGCCGTTCTAGATTTCTGAGGCTGGGGAAGTCCTCTTATAGAGTAAAGTGATATAATCCAGTCCACTTGCCACCCAGGTCAGAGAGTAAGTTAAAATACCCCTAGGCACCATTTAGAAAGAGTCGGGTTGAGAGGGATGGGGGAGAACGATGAAAGTGATGATGTCAATCAAGACGCATTGCTGATCAAGATAAGTTGCTAAGTGGTAACCCTTTGAAGAAGGAGGAGGAAGGAAGGAAGAAAAGGAGGAGGAGGAGGACCAGGAGGACAAGGAGGAGGACGAGGAGGAGGAGGAGGAGGAGGAGAAGGAGAAGGAGAAGGAGAAGGAGAAGGAGGAGGAGGAGAAGAAGGAGAAGGAGAAGGAGGAGGAGGAGAAGAAGGAGAAGGAGAAGAAGGAGGAGGAGGAGGAGGAGGAGGAGGAAGAGAAGGAGGAGGAGAAGAAGGAGAAGGAGGAGGAGAAGAAGGAGAAGGAGAAAGAGAAGGAGAAGGAGGAGGAGGAGGAGGAGGAGGAAGAGAAGGAGGAGGAGAAGAAGGAGAAGGAGGAGGAGAAGAAGGAGAAGGAGGAGGAGAAGAAGGAGAAGGAGGAGGAGAAGAAGGAGAAGGAGGAGGAGAAAGAGGAGGAGGAGGAGGAGAAGAAGGAGAAGGAGAAAGAGAAGGAGAAGGAGGAGGAGGAGGAGGAGGAGGAGGAGAAGGAGAAAGAGAAGGAGAAGGAGGAGGAGGAGGTGAAAGAGGAGGAGGAGGAAGAGGAAGAGGAGGAGGAGGAGGAGAAGGAAAAGGAGAAGTAGGAGTAGGAGGAGGAGGAGGAAGAGGAAGAGGAAGAGGAGGAGGAAGAGGAGGAGGAGGAAGAGGAGGAGAAGGAAAAGGAGAAGGAGGAGGAGGAGGAAGAGGAGGAGGAAGAGGAGGAAGAGGAGGAAGAGGAGGAAGAGGAGGAGAGGAAAAGCCAAGGCAAGGCCTCAGTACCTCTTCACTGCCATGGCCAGGTGCTCCATCTCTGCACTCTGAAGCTGAATCTCACGAATGAAGTTCCTTATCACGTGTTCGTAGGACTGGACCAGCCGTGGCTCCACGAGGTTAATGTTTAGATACAGGGTACTAACTTGTTCTTTTCTACAAAAAAAAATCAAGATTAAATCAATGAAAATAATGCAACAGCAAATCTGCAGAACACCTCTGAGGAAGAGAAACATAACTGAAAAAACAGGAAGCATACAAACAGCAATAGCATGATCTGGAATAAAGATAGCAGATAGAGAGACTGAGCCGGCGCTTTTTTCTCCACATTAGAAGATAACAAACCTGAAAGGGCAGGTGGGAAAGAAGGAACTCATTGTGTGTGTGAGTGTGTGTGTGTGTGTGAGCGTGAGTGTGTGTGAGTGTGAGTGTGTGTGAGTGTGTGTGTGAGTGTGTGAAGGAACTCATTGTGTGTGTGAGTGTGTGTGAGTGTGTGTGTGAGTGTGTGTGAGCGTGAGTGTGTGTGAGTGTGTGTGTGAGTGTGTGAAGGAACTCATTGTTGAGTGTGTGTGAGTGTGTGAAGGAACTCATTGTGAGTGTGTGTGCATGTGTGTGTGTGCATGTGTGAGTGTGTCTGTGAGTGTGTGAGTGTGCGTGTGCGTGTGTGTGAGCATGTGTGTGAAGGAACTCATTGTGTAAGTGTGTGTGAGTGTGAGTGTGTTTGTGTGAGTGTGTGTGTGTGAAGGAACTCATTGTGTGTGTGCGTGCGTGTGTGTCTGTGAGTGTGTGTGTGAAGGAACTCATTGTGTGTGTGTGTGTGTGCTTGTGTGAGTGTGTGTGCGCACGTGTGTGTGTGTCTGTGAGTGTGTGAAGGAACTCATTGTGTGAGTGTGTGTGTGAGAGTGTGTGTGTGTTTGTGTGAGTGTGTGTGCGCACGTGTGTGTGAGTATGTGTGTGTGTGTGAAGGAACTCATTGTGTGAATGTGTGTGTGAGTGTGTATGTTTGTGTGAGTGTGTGCGCACATGTGTGTGTGTGTGTGTGTGAAGGAACTCATTGTGTGAATGTGTGTGAGTGTGTATGTTTGTGTGAGTGTGTGTGCACACATGTGTGTGTGTGAGTGTGTGTGTGTGCACGCACATGCGTCAGTACTGGGGATTGAACTGGTGGGTGCTGTCCCTTAGCTTTGTCATTCAAGGCTGGTGCTTGACCTCTTGAGACACAATTCCACTACCCACTACCAGCTCTTTCAGGTGGCTACCTGGAGAGAAGAGTATAGTGGCCCTTTCTTCCTAGGCTGGCTTTAAACCAAGATCCTAGGATCTCAGCCTTTTGAGTAGCTAAGGTTACAAATGTGAGCCCCTAATACCTAGCTGAGAGGAAGGAACTTGTATCAAAGGACACTTTTTTTTTTTTGAGGGGTAAGGATCATTGCCTTGGTTTGGTTTGGTTTTTGGTCTTTTGAAACTATCTAAATAAATACACTTGCAGAAAAGTTAGGCAACGTTAAAGCAATTACCTAATTCCATTTTTCCCATGCTTGAAATCCTAAGAGTGCACATATCCATTATTTTGTGGTCAGTTGAATATCACTTCAGATACAGCCATATTTTGTAAATATCTGCATCACATGTACTCCCAATGCTTCTGGTACATAAAGTATGCATTTCTTCATACGAATCCTCTGATTTTCCAGACACCAACAGGTGTCTAACAATTTGATTCACATCTGACACTAACCATCAAGACATGATACAGATCCCACAGGTAAAGACTCAGATGGCCCACACCCCACAGTTCAGGACTCATACCCCACGATGGCCCACACTCACAGTTCAGGACTCATACCCTGGATGGCCCACACTCACAGTTCAGGACTCATACCCTGGATGGCCCACACTCACAGTTCAGGACTCATACCCTCGATGGCCCACACTCACAGTTCAGGACTCATACCCCTGGATGGCCCACACTCACAGTTCAGGACTCATACCCCACGATGGCCCACACCCCACAGTTCAGGACTCATACCCCTGGATGGCCCACACTCACAGTTCAGGACTCATACCCCACGATGGCCCACACCCCACAGTTCAGGACTCATACCCCACGATGGCCCACACTCACAGTTCAGGACTCATACCCCACGATGGCCCACACTCACAGTTCAGGACTCATACCCCTGGATGGCCCACACTCACAGTTCAGGACTCATACCCTGGATGGCCCACACTCACAGTTCAGGACTCATACCCTCGATGGCCCACACTCACAGTTCAGGACTCATACCCCTGGATGGCCCACACTCACAGTTCAGGACTCATACCCCACGATGGCCCACACCCCACAGTTCAGGACTCATACCCCTGGATGGCCCACACTCACAGTTCAGGACTCATACCCCACGATGGCCCACACCCCACAGTTCAGGACTCATACCCCACGATGGCCCACACTCACAGTTCAGGACTCATACCCCTGGATGGCCCACACTCACAGTTCAGGACTCATACCCCTCGATGGCCCACACTCACAGTTCAGGACTCATACCCCTGGATGGCCCACACTCACAGTTCAGGACTCATACCCCTGGATGGCCCACACCCACAGTTCAGGACTCATACCCCACGATGGCCCACACTCACAGTTCAGGACTCATACCCCACGATGGCCCACACTCACAGTTCAGGACTCATACCCCTGGATGGCCCACACTCACAGTTCAGGACTCATACCCCTGGATGGCCCACAGTTCAGGACTCATACCCTACGATGGCCCACACCCCACAGTTCAGGACTCATACCCCTGGATGGCCCACACTCACAGTTCAGGACTCATACCCCTGGATGGCCCACAGTTCAGGACTCATACCCCACAATGGCCCACACCCACAGTTCAGGACTCATACCCCTGGATGGCCCACACTTCAGATGCCAGTCACCAACCCTGGGTTGTTATCTGCATTTCAAACCAATGAGCTATAAACCAGGCGTTCCCACGACCTCCTCCCTAGGCTTGATAACTCACTAGAACAGCTCACAGAACCTAGGAAAACGGCCTGACTTACATTTAAGGACACCATGAGGGACAGTACTCAAGACCAGACAAATGGAAGAAAGGAAGAGAGAAGGTACTAAGAGTTTCTGCACCTCTCTGTCCATACCCCTTGGCACCTGCAGCACCTACATGCATTCACCAGCTCATAAGCTCTACAAACACACTATTTAGAGGTTACAATGGAGGCTGTGTGGCATCAGTAATGATAGGCTAACTTATTGAGAAATAGAGATTAAGTCAACCTGCAGGCCCTCTGTCCAACTCAGAGGCAGAGAATGGGCTGCTGAAGATGCCAGTTCCTTAATCGGGCCATGCATCTTTTTGGCAATGAGCCCACTTATTAAAGCTATCTGGGGCCCAGTCATCCCAATTCCATCCCATTGCCACAACATGATCCTAAGACATCAGATAAAGGAGCTGGAGAGGCTGGTGGCACTTGGACTTTACATCTTTTTGTGGAGTTAACCAATCTATTCATCATCACATCCAAAACTTCTCCCAGCTGACAATATGCACGTTCACCTTGTACATCAGAGACTGGGCTACCCCTTTCCTGTTCCTGATGCTAGGAAAGAGCCAGACTTGCTATCTTTAACCCAAACAGTAGCTGTGCTGTGACAACAACAGCACTTTGTTTCTGAAAGCAAAGAATCTACACCAGATGAAAGAAGATATGCCAGGGAATTGAAAAATAGGAATTCCTTTGGCCTGAAATGATAACTTAACCATAATACCAGGAGGAAAGGGCTGAGTCAGTGTTCATCAGATCTAATGTCAGTGGCAACTAATTATCAAAGAAAAGCTAGATGCTTGCGCACATTGCCTTACTTAAATCTCACCTCCAATGTTTACATAGTTCTTGAGATCCATGATCTATCACTATGATTTTATAGCTATGCCCTAGACAATGAAAATGCCGTCTGTCTCCGGCCCTTGACATGGAGAGGTTTCTGCTCTCCAGGGGGGGGAGGGGGGGGGTGCGTGTGTGTGTGTGTGTGTGTGTGTGTGTGTGTGTGTGTGTGTGTGTTGCTCTGAAAGCTAGTGGGCAGGCCATTATAGAAACCAGCACACCTGAGAGTTTTCCACATCCCTCTATGCCATCTAATGGCCCCCAAATGACAGCCACAGAAAACCACTCAGAACTGCTAAGCACATTGCCTAGGCTTTTGCCCTTTTATTCCTTTCAAGGCAGAGATACTATAAAGGCATAAGAAACACTATGATGATGATAGCCTGGGTAACTGAAAGGCTACACAAGAAGCCATCTTCTAGCTGACACAGATGCCATAATTAGATATAGTAAGATTGATGTGTGTTGGGTTCTGTTTGGTGAGTGCACATCATATATATTGAGCTATGCAGTATGTGAACATCATCTCTCTAAATGCTCACAACCACCCTAGGAATAACTATTAACAACTCATTTTTCAGATTACAGAGGGCTAAGTGTCTTTTATAAGCTGAATCATGTCTTTAGTCTCATCCTCCCTACAAACTCATATTTTTAAGTTATAGCATCCAGATTTCTCTTGTTTGTAATAATTGAAATGTGCCTATAAATCTACAAATAAACCCAATAGATAATAGAAGACAAATAATTATACTTGGACATGATTAATTAAACAGCACTCTAACCATTCACACAGTGAGAACAAGGAGGATGTTCTTAGGAGAGGATCACAAGGGCTCCATAGCTATGTGCATAAAATCATATAAAATGATGCTTATCAAAATGAACTCCAAGAAATGGAAATAAGGTGTTTTTATTGTACTGTTGAGGTTCTTTTTCCCTCTTTGGTTTAGCCCCTTTTGTCATTGTTTTTTATTTTGGTATCCTTTGTCTTGTATATAAATGTATCTGATTTGTGGAGGAGTAGGGGAAGCACAGAAATGGGACGAAAGGTGAACCAATTCAGCAGTGGTACTCACTAGACACCATGCTGGAAAGGAACTATACAACTTGGGAGGGAGAGGAGTAGGGAAGGGAAAGACTGGGGAAAATGAAGGAGGGGATGGCAGTATTAAGAAAGAAATGTACTCTTCACGTGCCTTACGTACCTGTAACCCTCTGCACATCACCTGTACAATACACATTTAAAA